AAAAAAAAAAAAAAAAAAAAAAAAAAAAATATAGTAAAATATTTTTTTTTACGAATATTCGAAATATTTTATAAAAAGATATATCGTTTAAAAGTTCCCTTGATTAAAATAATATTAAAGTTAAAATGGAATGAAATAGTTTAATAATTCATAAAATAATTTTTTTTTATACGAACCCAATCATTTGAAAATTAATTGAATCAATGTTTAACTTCCTTTAAAAATAATTCCAAAAACATTGCATTTTTATACCTATGTGCAATATATCGAAGTTGCACCATTTTATTGCACAGAATGCCAAATAATTTGATAAAAGCCCTAAATATTTCAAAATTGATTTTAACGGGACCTTAGACTATGATTAATTAGTCAAAGCACAGATATGCTTCTCCACAAAGATAAAATTAAAAAAAAGCTTATCTATTTTCTTAATTTTTAAACACATGGGGAAAAGAAATGAAGAAAAATACCTTATAATATTTAAGAATCTAATCTGCGAATACAGAAGTACTATATGATATAGATTTATTACATTTCCAATAAATCAAGATCGTCTACAATCACTTGTAGTCTAGAAAGTTTATTATATGACATCATCTGAAATAATGGCGTTTTACTAATATTAAACTGTAAAACACTAAAACAAACTCCTTTTACATTTAAGTGATACCTCATTCTAAAAGTTGATGTTTCTGCAGTGTTATAATAAAACTGCAGACACAGGTGGCGCAGTAATATGAGCCATTTAATGTTATAAAAAAAATATAATAGACATCTATATGGAAAATTTCTTAATGCGGAAATATTGATAATTTTCTGCGCCATGTTTGCATGATTCTATACTAAATTAAATATTTTTTAATCAAATGCATTTTTAATATAATATATTACTATAAATAACGGGAAGTCTCTAGTATATTTTGTAAATCGTTGATTTTCGAGTTAGTATAAACTACGCTTTGTCCACCGGAAGAAAGAAATAAATCATTAATTTTAAGAGAATCTAGAAAATTGAAATAAATTTTTTTTATCGTCGTAACATTCTGCATCTAGTGCTGATCGAATACGATAAAGCATAAATTTTGTTTACGCAATTAAAGATAATTCGTAATAGTTATTTCACTGGGAACTGTGGATATTGTAATGCCGGAATTTATCTAATGAATTATTAAATGTGGGCGCAGTACTATATTTAGTTTAGATAGAAATTTTGAATTTTATTTACTGCGGTCCGCGATGACCTTAAACTATGATGAATATTTTCGTCCATACACATGATATTAAACTGTATCATAATTATAGTCCGATTTATTGGATTATAGTTCTTGTAATTATATTTTTATTTTATTTATTTATTGGTTCGTTTTGTTTATATAGTATAAGACATCATTGTGAATGTGATTTAATCTGGAATGTGATTGTGATAATGGTAATGTAGATCAGATAATACAATGAACTTCGGAATTGCGTAGTGATGATCATAGTAATTGTAACATTACAATAAGAATATGAATATAATTTTGGAAAAATTTGAACTCATTACAAAAGACAAAATTTACAAAGGAATAAGAAAATGCGTAAACAAAAGAAATATTAATGCATAATATCCAAAAAGAGTAATATTGGATACAGAACTACGTAGGAACTTGAAAATACATAAAAAGAGTGAATTTTGGAATTTAGAATAAGGCGTAGTATTTTAATAGCTTATGGGGAATCAATCGATAAAATGTTAGTAAGGTGGAAATTTGAATAATTTAATAATAATTTTGTCGTTTTGATATTATTTTATTTCATGAAATGCAATACGAGAATAATGTTAAGTAGGGAGAATTATCGCAGTCTGAAAATGATAATCGGGATTTTGAAGTTTTATTAATGTATTAAGAAAGTTGTAATATGTTAAGTATGGGGAAACTATCAAAAGCAAATTAAGAAAGTATATTGAGTAATGAATTTTGGATGAGAAAGTTATTTTTTATTATTTTATTTTAGTTTTATTAATATTATTATTATATTTTATATTTAGAAATCAAGCATAGACCTCGGGATAATTTTAGTTGTTTTGTATTAATTATCTTTATGAATAAAAGAAACAATGTTCAATGACGTGGTGGCAAATGTACAATAGTACAGGCACGTCATTACAATATCAATGATTTTCACGGCGCAGCCGTGAAAATCAGTGACTCCGTGAAATAACTGATTTATCTCACGGTATCCGTACCATAAAGCCCTTTGATATACTTATTTTGACTAATAATGATAGACTTTTTGTTCCAGGCTTTTTATCCATCTTTTTAAATAAACCCACCCGCGAGAATATCAAGAAAGAAAAATAACAAATTTTAACTAGGACCGTGGGATAAATAAGGTATACCGCTATAGGATTATACTAATATTATTTTCTTATTATCTAATTAAATACCAAACTGTGTTGTACTATAATGAAAATTTAATGATACGATTGTAAATTTTGATTTTAATGTTTTAAAACATTAGGTTGTAGAATTTAAGACCTTTTAACACTGATTAATAAAAGTTATCAATTGTAAACTGATAAAATATTAATTATGTATCTCTGCTTTGTCAATAACATATTTGTTATTACTATACTTCAAATGATGATAATTTCATTTCAGTCGGAATTATTGTAAATTCCGGTGAATAAACCAAAATTATATCGTTGTTATGGAATACTGATGGAATTCAATTTTATTAATTATCATTGGAATGATAAGATTTGCAAATATAGTCAAAAAAAATTTAAAGATGAAAGAAATAAATTTTATATTTGATTTACAAAAAAATTGTTATGAAACTTGCTAAAAAATTAGTTCTTAACAAAGTTTATTTTGAATGTTCGTGAAATTTCGTGTAATTTTAAAAAAATAATTTATTATAAATTGATAGCGGTAAGTTTGAAATGTACTAAATACATCTTTGAATTTACATTCTCAAATAATACCAATTTTATTAAAGATATCAATACTTTCAATTGAACAATTAGTGCAAAATTGTTTCTATATTTCAATAGATTGAACGTAGCTAGACGTGGTAATACTCGTTCTAGCCGTGAAAATAATATCTTTGTTCCTTTAATGAACGTTCATATCCAAGAACGTAGTTATGGTTGTTTTATTCGTAGAATCTCATTACCACCGAATGTAAAATCAAATGATGACACAGCTGAAACTTCCTAAGAGCTTTTCTAAATCACTATCTGATATAGTAGGTATAAAGATGTAATGGGTAGATGAAATAGAAAAAGAAAAGAATAAAGGACGATAAAAGAAGATATAAAGCAATACAAGATAAAGAAGATGAAGTGACATTTAGGAAATAAAATGCAGAAAAAAAAGAAAAAAAAAATTTAAAATAGAAAAAAAAATTTAATTAACAATAATTAATGTACCGACGTAAATAGAAAATATTACATAGTTTAATAGCGTAAAAATTTAGTTATTTAATGAAAATTACTGCGTACTGCGGTACCAAGGTGATCATCGACTGGAATGTTTGGTGATACGAAATAACGCTGTACGCTTGTACGACTATTATCGGAGAAAAAAAATATAAAATAGGCAGACACAATAAACTTTAATAATTATTACTTTTCATTTTTTTTCTTAACTTTATTGTTAACTTATCATTATTCAATACGTTTGATAACGCTCAATAATATCAAAATGCAAGATACCGAGCATACAAATGAACGAGAATTTAATGACACCTCTTTAAGTATTAATAATTCAGAATTTCAAGGAGATTTATCTCAACTTATTCAAAATTTTGATAAAATTAATATAAAAGAAATTGATCCTATAGCAATATCAAGTATACAAGAAAATCCTTCAACTGAAATAGATTTTAACATGATAGTTGATGAAATAAATAATTTGATTTTTAAATTATTAAATAAAGGATTTAAATTTAATTTAGTGAAACAGCAAGTTATTGAATATTTTAATGATCATAATATAAGTTCACAAGAATTTTATAATTGGTTATTAAATAATCAAAATAGTTTAAATTCTATTTTTTCACTTGGATTTTTTAATTATCATGGAATTGAAACAAATAAAAATGATGAGAAAGCATTTAATTTGTTTATTAAAACTTCAGAAAAAAATCATATATTAGCACAATATTTTGTTGGTGAATTTTATTTATATGGTTATGGAACTATAAAAAATGGTAAATTAGCTATTGAATATTATAAAAAAGTAGTTGATAAAAATTTTACACCTGGACAAGTAAGCATTGGTTATTGTTATTCAAATGGAATAGGTGTTGAAAAAGATTTAATAAAGGAAATTTATTGGTATAAAAAAGCTGCAAAGAATGGAAACTTAATGGCAATATATAATCTTGGTATCATATATGAAGATGGAATTGGTATCGAAAAAGATAATAATAAAGCTTTTAAATTGTTTAAGCAATCAGCTGAAGGAGGATATTTAGATGGAATAATGATGCTAGGATATTGTTATGATAATGGTATTGGAACTAAAATTGATAAATATAAAGCATTTGAATTATATCAAAATGCTGCAAATTTGGGAAATGATATAGCACAAAATAATCTTGCTTTATTGTATGAAGAAGGAGATGGAATTGCAAAAGATACAGAAAAAGCGATATATTGGTATGAAAAATCTGCCAAACAAGGATATGGGTTAGCAAAAAATAATTTAAGTAACCTTCTCGATAATTTATACTTTGATTATTAAATTAAAACATTAAATTATTTTATTTACAGTGTTTATTTTTTCTAAAAATTTACAAAGATAGTAAATACACTGCTTTAAAAATAAAATAAATAAATTGTTATAATTTTATTATATATTTTATATAATCATTTTTATATACTTTTCTTTTATGTTTAAACATATTAGTGATTTTGTGTATGCCATAGTATCTTTCAAATGTCTTTCAAATATGTTTGTATTTTTTTCTATTTTAAAAATAAATTATAGGAAAATAACTCAATTGTAAAATGATAATAAGTAAGTGAAACATAAATCTTAAAGCTAAAATAAAGGAAAGTTAATAGTTCAGTTTTCAATATTTTAGTTTTCTAACTTTTCCCAATAAAAAAAAGGATTCATTAATTAAAAGTTTTTAAACTTAATTGCAACTATACTTATCGCCGTTTTCAAAATAGTGTACGCAATTTATTTGTGGTTGTATATTCGAATACCAATATTGGCCGGTTTTCGTCCGTTTTTTGTCCATATTTCGTCCGGTTTTCGTCCGGTTTTCGGTTTTCTTTTTTTTTTATTCAATTTAACTGAGTACATCATTTTGAAAACGGCGATAATACTAACAATTATAAATATACAACGAATATTACTGAATTTTAATTAGTATTTTAATTATTCAAAAGCTTTTCTTTTACAGAATTCAATTCTTTATAACTAGTAGTCCTTGAAAATGAAGATTATCTGCAGCGGCAAAGACTTTAAAAGAATCTGAAATGTCATGTACATTCAATGAAAGAATACCACCATAAATATACCTACAGTATATAACAAAAATTTCATGAACGTGAGAAACAATTTTTATTATTCGGTAATATAGTGTATATTTATTAAATTCAATTAGAAGAAATTACTTACTCTAAAATAATTTGAATTCTGGTGAAATTTTTGGTAATTTTATGTGAGCCAATAAATTCGTCGTAAATATGGAGAACGGTAACACAAAATATTCATGTGAGCACGAAATAATTTTACGTTAGGATCTTCACAAACTTCAATTGTAATATCATAATATTCATCATCCTTTAATAATTCAATGTAATTTCGACTTAATTTTGAAAAAAATTGAGCAGACATTTTGTTAAAAAGAATAAAGTCTTAAATTGGAGGAAGACTATTTATATTTGTTTCATATTCGACCAAATTAGATATTTGTGTACAACTTTAAACTCGTTACGCCAATCTCCCATAACCTGTGACTTGTTTTCTCAAAAATTTGGCTGAACAAAAATTTACTTTATTTAAGAAAGTCTATTTTAATTAAGCAAATTATCGGTTCTTTCGATCTCTTGGAAAAAAAAAATGATTCAAGATCGACAAATTAAAATTAGCTGAAATCAACTATTGTGCAGGCTGAAATTATTATTCAGATCACGAGATAGTTGACGTCATGTTTTATTTAGTGAGCATAATAAAAGAAGAAGCGAGAATAAAAAATGAATAAAATTTATATTCCATATTTATTAGTATATAGTCCAAAATATTATAAAACATTATTTAATTCATTAATAAGCAAAATTAATAAATATGAATCTTTTCCTTTACTAATTAATCTTATTTTGTTTTTTTAAAACAAACAAGTTGGTTGTGAAAAGAAAATATCATTACAAAGACAAAATAGAATCAGCGAGAAAATAGACGAATTTATAGATTCTAAGTATAATGTATTACGAATCTATAAAACTTTGTTCGTATTATAGATTTAAAAAAGGAAGCTGTCTAATTATCTTCAAAGTATGACTATGATATTAAAATTATCAAAATTTTTTTTTTAGATATGATTATATCAATTTTATAATAAACTCTTCAATTACTAGTGGTAAATTTATCCATTCAAGAATTCACTGATTATTAAATTTACAAAAATAAATAAAAAAAATACAAGCAATTGAAATAATTGCTAAAGTTTGACAATAATTTGTCATCGCTTGTAAATAATAATGTAAGGTGTAAACTATACAAACTTGAAATTTTATTGTGACAATTATCAAAAATAAATATTTCATTAATTTTCGTAACTTCTATAAATCAATAGTATATGATTTTAATAATTTTATAAAGTAATTTATTAATACAGTAAGTTATATGAAAGAAAAAAAAAATTATTTAAATTACAAACTAAGAATCTTTAATCTTACTACTCTAGACTTAGTGTTTAAATGTAATAGTGTAATACTAATGTCAGTTAGTTTTCATCCATATCTAAATACGTTAAATTATTTTAAATAAAAAATCGAATTTAGTAATTAAAGAAATTTTTGACTAAACAAACTTAATCTTTTAAAATACTTACTCTCGGGAAGTTCAAATTCATGTTGTTCTTCAGAATGAAAATTTGGATTATTATATATTTCATCATCATCTATAAATAAGAAATTCGGAAGTATAAAATTAATTAATTATCATTATTACAAAAAGATAATTATTTATGTACCATCAATATTAACGTGATATTTCTTTATTTGTTCTTGCATTATTTCTTGAACATCTAAAATTAAACAAAATTACATTTAATATTAAGTGATTAAGTTAATACGTTAATTTATTAATTTACTTACCATTTTTTGAATTTCTCTTGAATATTTTTAATAATTTTTTACTATTAACTAAAAAAATTTAGCCATATATTATTATTGATTTATTTGATTAATTCCAATAAAAAATAATAAAATTACCTTTGAAAAAGCTACTTATTTTTGATGAACTGTTCTTCCGAATATTTAATTTATCAAAATCATCAACTAAAAAAAAGAAAACAATCAAAAAATATTTTAGAATTATTAGATTTATAATATTAATGTTACAAAAAATCAAATACTTACTATTATTAGGGATATGAAAGTCATATGATTTGTTACTGTGAAATGCTAATAAAAGGAGACAATCTATCATTAATTATTAATAAATAAAAATTGTAAAATAATTGCTTAATTTATACCCTGTTGCTCTTCTATATGTTAAAAAATGAAAATATTATATTAGTTATTGAACTTTTTTATAATATTTAATACTAAAATAAATACCTTCTGTTGCATTTCTTGGTTCAGAAAGATTTTCAAATTGATGAACTTTACTTGTAAATAATCTGCTACTGCTAATATAATTTTCTAAGCTATTCATTTCCGATCTATTATCATTTTCTTCTAATTTAGTTGATTCATTTGAGTTAGAATTTTGGTAATATAAATTAAGTTCTCTTATTTTTTTCCAACTTGTAACAATGTCTGGTCTGTTTAATGGATTAGCATCCCAGCATTGTATCATTAAACTTTTATATTCTATAGGAGTTCCTGGTACAATTTTTGGTCTTATACCTTTAATTATATTCATTGCAAGATAATAATCATGTTCATAATTAATAAATGGTGGTTGGCCAGATGAAATCTCCCACATAAGCATTGCAATACTATAAATATCAGATTTAAAAGTAGTTTCTTTTCCTGCAATAACTTCTGGTGCAATGTAAGGAAGATTTCCATATATACTTTTTAATGGTTTATCTGCAGGTCCACAAAATCCAAGATCACTAATATCAAATTTTTGACTTCTTTGAGCAAAAAGTATATTTCCAGAATGCAAATCTCTATGAATTGCATTTTCATAATGATGAATTTTATAAAGTGCATCAATTATATTAACAGCAATTTGAATTCTTTCTTTCCATGTAAATTGATTATGATTTTGTTGTAAATATTTTCTTAAATCTGTATCAAATTTATCCATTACAAGCATATAATCTCCATTTAATAGATCTTGTGTCAAACCATAACATTGAACAATCGAATCTGACCATTTATTACTTATATTTAAATGTGAAGTAGCCTATAAAATAAAGAAATGTTATAAAAGCTTTTAAATAAATAATTGTAACATTATTAGATTACAAACCTCTTCAAACCAACGTTTATTTGCACTTTCAAAATTTTCTAATCTTTTAAGTACCACATCTTGTTCCCCAAATCTTTTTAATTGTTGTTCTTTAGAATCCCATTCATCATATCTTCCATGAATCCACTCGGCTGTATATATTTCAGAGCATCCACCTTTTGTTAAATAATTAATATTTTTTAAATTACTATATGGAATCCATTCAACTATACTATCTGGTTCAATTGCTTTCATTTGACATTCTTGTATTAAATTATCAATGTAATCATTTCCAGATGTCCAATTTGAAAATTTTGCTTTTAAATAATTTCGAACACAAAATTCACAATATAATGTAGCTAAACATTTTTGGTTACAATTTTCACAAACTCTTCTTATTCCTTCATTAAAAACAATTTTATTACTGTCATAAATTTTAGTCAATTTTCTTATTGCTTCAGATTTTTCATCTTTTGTAAGTGATTCATCGGCAAGAATTACTTGTTTTTGAAATTTATTTAATTCATGTAAATTATTGTAAATATTATAATCTATTAGTGCATATGCTCTATCAATTGCAGCATTAATTAAATTTTCTCTAATAACAGACATAATGAAATAAATATACTGTAAAATTTTTTAAAATAAGCTTGAAGCAAAAAAGCAGAAAAAAAAATATTTTTGGAATGGTCTCTGAAATTCTATTTATAAAGTTATATTATAAACATTATGTAACCAAATAATTCATTAAGTAATCTATCTCTAGTACAAACTAATTATTGTAGAGTAAAAAACAGGCAATAACTTTTTTCTGTTTGGTAATCTGTTGTACTCTTTAAAATACTGTATTACAATTTTTTGTGTCAAAATGATGATCATATCCCGGAATGCATTAGATCATTGACAATCATATCTTAAAATGAAAAATTGTGCGTTTTTATGGATTAGTTAGTGCATTTTTATGGATTAGATTTCTAACCATAACGATAAGTCCAAATAATTTTATATATATGTTAGTATAGTAGAGCAATTAATTCTTATCCCCCCTTAGTTAGAGCTTTATTTTTGTAACTCGCGTTTTGTATCTTTATTTTAAAAATAAATTTATGAGTTGAACCTTAAAAAAAAAAAAAAAAATAGCAAAGCTAACGTTTTTTAGATTTTTTTTGATTGAAAATTAAAATATTTTTCTTATATTTTTTTTATTTCTCTTTTGTAAAAAATTTTTTTTGTTAAAAACTTTACGAACTCTTTCCGCTAAACGTCTGGACCATATTTTTTGAAAAAAAATAATTTTTTATTTTTTATTTTTTTATTTTTTCGCTTATTGTTTATACACTTTTATTTTATTTTTACATACTTCAAGCAAAGTCTTGACAGCAATGAAACCCATAGCGGTTTTATTTTAGTATAGCCAAAAATTTTTATTTTATTTTTTGGACATTTCTTACGCGTTTTTTTCTCTCTTCTTTGTGGTGTTCCTGGACTCAAGACGGTCTGGAGAGGCGTATTGCCTAGAATAAGCAAGCTTTGAGATAACGACAAGATGTGGACACTCTTAAGCTACCTTTTTTAAGCGGAAAATAATACCTTCGACATACTATTATTATAATCATTAATTAATGTGAAATAATTAAATTTAACACTACCAAAAATAAATTTCTTTTTTTTTTCCTGAAAAACTAGAATTGAGACGCACCGGACCTTCTAACTGTTTCATCGCTAGTTTATTACTTAATTATCATTTGTAGAATCATTTAATTTAATTCAAGAATTAAAATTCAAATTCAAAATAGTTTTTAATGCAATTATATAGTAAATAATTCATATATAGTAAAGGATTTTACTGGTATATTATATATTGCTTTTTCAACATTCATGGCTTATTGTAAGGAAATACTTCTAAGGAACAAAAGTTTAATTCAAATTAAAAAGTTGAAGTTTATAGAAAATCTGTCCATAATTCTTTATTTAATTTAGAGAAAAGAAGAACATATATGAAAATTTTCAATAAAATGGAGAATACGGTACATTATTTTTTAATCCCTTATTTTTCTTCATAATACGAAATTCTTATTGAGGATTATTTTTTTTAATAAAACCAAATAAAAGCTTATGGTTTATCACTAAATGGCTATATTATAAGTTACCCGCTACGACGCTACGTTTAACTTCGAAAATAATGACTAAAGTCACGTATGCAGAATAGACCAATAAGAAAGCAGAATAAGACTGGGATATAAATTAATAAAATGGCAAGTTGATTAGTATAACTAAAAAGTTTTTTTACGCTGCAATTAACAGTAATGTATATTTATTTATTGTATATATTTAATTAAGTTTTTATATTACAGCGTTAACAAATTTTTAAAATAATGACCAATTATGTACCTTTAAAATCAGTTATAAATTGTAAATGAATTAAAATTAAAAATAAAAATGGTTGTTATATCGGTCATGAATTATTTTTTTTTTTATGATGGATAACAAGACAAGATTTTCTCATTTAATAATGTTTAAGACGAAATATCTTTTATAATAATATTTGTTAATATTTCCTTAATTATTTTTATTTAGTTATTGTTATTTATGATGTGATTCGTTTCAATTAATTAATAAAGGCACCAAAATCTGATTTTAAAGTCTTTAAATGGACTAAGGATAGGTTGATAATATATACATATATATATATATAGTTTTTACTTCAAATCACCGGGGGTGATCATCACCGTTGGCCAGAATTATCAATTTTTACCGGCACTATATTTTTTTAATGCTGGTCGATTGTCATAATTTCAGTCACCGTTGATCATCACCCCGGTGATAGTTAGGAAAATTCATTTTTTTGCATTTTATCATAAAATTATATAATAGAACAACTGTTTACAGAACCTATAAATGAAATTTTTTTTTTTTTAACGTAAAAAAAATAATCTTTTTTTTTTTTTNNNNTTTAAATGGACTAAGGATAGGTTGATAATATATACATATATATATATATAGTTTTTACTTCAAATCACCGGGGGTGATCATCACCGTTGGCCAGAATTATCAATTTTTACCGGCACTATATTTTTTTAATGCTGGTCGATTGTCATAATTTCAGTCACCGTTGATCATCACCCCGGTGATAGTTAGGAAAATTCATTTTTTTAAAGAAATTAAACCTTTATACAGTATATATTTCATTATGTCTTATGATGAAAATCAATCAGTTAACGCTGCAATTATTAGAGCAATTGCATTAATGGATTATAATATTTGTAATAATATACACAAACAATTTGAATTTGTGCGACAAACACTTCTTGATGATAATTCACTTACAGAAAATGAAAAATATGAAGCAAAATTAATATACACTAAAGTTTATGATTCTTATAAAATTATGAATAATGATGGATCAAAAAGAATTTGTGATAATTGTAATCAAGAATGTTTAGCTACATTATACTGTGAACTTTGTATTCGAAATTATTTAAAAACAAAATTTTCAAATTGGACATCTGGAAATGTCAATATTGATAATTTAATAAAAGAATGTCAAATGGAAACATTAAAACCAAATAAGATAATGGAATGGATTCCGTATAATAATTTAAAAAATATTAAATATTTAACAAAAGGTGGATTTTCAGAAATTTATACAGCAATCTGGATGGATGGGTATTTTATTGAATGGGATTCTAAAGAAAAGCAACTAAAAAGATTTGGAAATCGATGTGTAGTGCTCAAAAATTAGAAAATGTTAATAATGCAAGCCAAAGTTGGCTTGAAGAGGTTTGTAATTTAAACTATTATTTAACATTTTGACAATATTCTAATAAGGTATTAATGAATTTTTTGATAGGCTAAATCCCATTTAACCCTGAGCACTAAATACCCAAATATTGTTCAATGTTATGGTTTAACACAAGATCCATCAAATGGAAATTATATGCTTGTAATGAATGAAATGGATACAAATTTAAGAAAATATTTACAACAAAATCATAGACAACTTACATGGAAAGAAAGAATTCAAATTGCTGTTAATGTAATTAAATCAGTTAGAATAATTCATAAAGAAAATGCAATTCATAGAGATTTGCATTCTGGAAATATATTATTTAAAACTAGATTTTATATTAGTGATCTTGGATTTTATGGACCTGCAGATAAACCATTAAAAAGTATATATGGAAATCTTCCTTATGTAGCACCTGAGGCTATTATTGGAAAAGAACAGACTTTTAAATCTGATATTTATAGTATCGCAATGCTTATGTGGGAAATTTCATCTGGACAACCACCATTTATTAATTATGATAATGATTATGATCTTGCAATGAATATTGTTAATGGTATAAGACCAAAAATTGAACCGGGAACTCCTTCAGAATATAAAAATTTAATGAAACAATGTTGGGATGCTGATCCATCAAACAGACCTGATATTAATACACTTCGGAAAAAAATAAATGAAATTAATTTATTTTATCAAAAAGAATTAGATGAACTATTAACTCAACCAGAAGAAAATAATAGTTTCGAAATAGAACATCATACTAGCAGTAACATATTATCTACAAGTAGACTTCATCATTTTGAAAATCTTCCTGAACCAAGAAATGTAACAGAAGGTATTATATTATGAACCTTGTATTAAATATTTTAAAAAAGTACTAATATCACGCTAAATATAATTAATGATATCTTTTTATTTATTAAATCGATAGGGGAATTAGAGGGTATGAATTATTTTTAAATTCATTTACCTTTTATAAATTATTAAATAATTAATAAAATTTATAGAATTTTATAGTAAATCATTTAACTTTTACATTCCTGACAATAGTAAGTATTATTGGATTTGTATTATTTTATACTTTAAAATAAAAATATTTCATCAATATAAACTTTTTTTTTAGTTAATGATATTGGTAAATCGAATAATCAAGAAAATAGTACATCAAAAATAAGCACTATATTTAAAGGTGATTTGATATTTTTCATAAATAAATATTAATTTACGAATCATTTAGTTAATAGTAAAAAATTATTCAAAATATTTAAAAAGATTTTAAAAAATGGCAAGTAAAATGATTATTAATTATTTTAGTACGTTCACTAAATTTTTAGATGTTCAAAATGAAGATAAAAGAGAAATGATGCAACAACAAATAAATAAACATCATCATAATGTTAATTGTATGTAATTTATTTCATAATAATAGTAATTGATTTTATATTATTGTGTTAATTATAATATATTTTTACAGATGAAGATGATGTATATAATAATCCAAATTTTCATTCAGAAGAACAAGATACATTTGAACTTCCTGATGGTAAGAATTTTTTTTTGTAAATATTAAATTTTTTAAATAGTCCTTAAATTACTAAAATTATTTTTGCTCCTAGATATTTAAATATAGCGGATGATGAGATGAATTTATAAATATTATATATTATACTATTATCATACTTATTATTTATTATTATGATTTTTAAAGTTTATATTAAATATTATTTAAACACTAAGACTAGAGTACGTAAGATTAGACATCTTTCAAAATTCTTAGTTTGTAATTTAAATAATATTAATAAATTACTGTATAAAATTATTTCATGAACATACGTCCGTATATTTAACAAGTGTAATTTGATAAAATTAATCAAATTGTTGATTTTTTCGAAATAATAAGTCCAAACCCGTGAAAATCTAATATTGCTAAAGTCCCAAATGACTTGCAATACTTTTTCGTTCGAATCTGTTGCAATTTTCGTACTTTCAACATGAATTATTTGTCAAATCCAAACCTATATTTTATTTTCTTAGGATAATGGCATAATTTTGCTACAAAAAAAAAAAAACTTTGAAAAATTCATTATCTTTTTACTTCAATAGTTTAGCCTCCATTTCTGATTACACTATAATGTTACCATATTCAGTTTCAATTTTATCCGCCCTTTTATTGAGTTACCATATTTGTCATTCTGTCGCTTAATTTGATCAGTTAAATAGTTAAATCCTTCATCTTTCCCTTATTCGGACGAAAAGTCCTTTTTTAGGCAAGACTAATGAGTGAGGTAGATAACAAATATAGATTCGCTATAATTGTTATTATTATTATTATTTTACAAATTTTGATTTAAAATATGAGAAATCTTGATTTTACTCGTGCTATATGATATATCTGTTATCATATAATAACTGACGTCAGATATCGTGTCAGAAAATCCTGACAGTCAAATCTCGAAGATTTTTTTTTTAAAAAAAAGAATAATTTTTTAAATTAAGCGTATTAAAATGATGTATTATATTCGGTCATTTGAATCGCTAATAAAATTACTATCACAAAATATACAAAATAATTAAATCAACACAAAATTGTATTTTTTCAAAACAATATGTAATTTGCGAACTTGTTATAATGATAATATAAGTATTTTAATCTTTCAAAAAATTCGAGAGAATAAAATTATATACATCAGACAGATGGTGAATCTTTTAAGAAGAAACTTTTATAATTTAGAAATTCTTGAACTTTGTAATCGCAATTACTTTAATTATTTGCCAATTCAAGCAATTTCAAATTTATTAATTTAACAAAATTGAAAGTTTGCTAATGATAATAATTTAAGAGGAATTTATTTGCCAATACTTGATATTTTCCTTTATATATTTTAGAGAAAATAATTTAATATTCATTGCTAAATAAATAGAAACCACAATGTAACAATTGAAGTGGCAACAAATAATACAAAATATACAATTGATACAACATAGTTATTATGAAATATATCTCCATAATTTCCATAATCATCGTCAATCGTATTATATTTTCACAATTAAAATAACATTTTCAAATATTGAAATTTTACCGGTGTGGTTAGGGTCGACATCTTTGAAATTTTAATAATTTTAATGAAAATCTTGTTCATAACGCAAAAAAATTTATTATTCATGCCACATGATATTTTAACCAAAATAATTTTGTATTTGTTGGTTATAAAATCGTCATCCCCCTTTTGAATTAATTTTTATTTAATTTAGAACTAGAAAGTTTTTTTAATTTATGGAAAGAAATGAAAACTTCGGAATTTTTTTCAAAAAAATACTAACACTTATATTAAATCAAATTATACTAATAAAACTCCAATATGTTATGGAAAGAATCATTTATTCAATTTTATTCAAATAACGTCAACACTATACCGAATAAAAAAATTTGATCTTTATTAAGAAGAGAGTTATATATATCTTAATAACACTCTGTAAATAATTATGTGACTTAATATTTTTATTATATTCTTTTTACGGTACGACATTNAAAAAAAAAAAAAATATAGTAAAATATTTTTTTTTACGAATATTCGAAATATTTTATAAAAAGATATATCGTTTAAAAGTTCCCTTGATTAAAATAATATTAAAGTTAAAATGGAATGAAATAGTTTAATAATTCATAAAATAATTTTTTTTTATACGAACCCAATCATTTGAAAATTAATTGAATCAATGTTTAACTTCCTTTAAAAATAATTCCAAAAACATTGCATTTTTATACCTATGTGCAATATATCGAAGTTGCACCATTTTATTGCACAGAATGCCAAATAATTTGATAAAAGCCCTAAATATTTCAAAATTGATTTTAACGGGACCTTAGACTATGATTAATTAGTCAAAGCACAGATATGCTTCTCCACAAAGATAAAATTAAAAAAAAGCTTATCTATTTTCTTAATTTTTAAACACATGGGGAAAAGAAATGAAGAAAAATACCTTATAATATTTAAGAATCTAATCTGCGAATACAGAAGTACTATATGATATAGATTTATTACATTTCCAATAAATCAAGATCGTCTACAATCACTTGTAGTCTAGAAAGTTTATTATATGACATCATCTGAAATAATGGCGTTTTACTAATATTAAACTGTAAAACACTAAAACAAACTCCTTTTACATTTAAGTGATACCTCATTCTAAAAGTTGATGTTTCTGCAGTGTTATAATAAAACTGCAGACACAGGTGGCGCAGTAATATGAGCCATTTAATGTTATAAAAAAAATATAATAGACATCTATATGGAAAATTTCTTAATGCGGAAATATTGATAATTTTCTGCGCCATGTTTGCATGATTCTATACTAAATTAAATATTTTTTAATCAAATGCATTTTTAATATAATATATTACTATAAATAACGGGAAGTCTCTAGTATATTTTGTAAATCGTTGATTTTCGAGTTAGTATAAACTACGCTTTGTCCACCGGAAGAAAGAAATAAATCATTAATTTTAAGAGAATCTAGAAAATTGAAATAAATTTTTTTTATCGTCGTAACATTCTGCATCTAGTGCTGATCGAATACGATAAAGCATAAATTTTGTTTACGCAATTAAAGATAATTCGTAATAGTTATTTCACTGGGAACTGTGGATATTGTAATGCCGGAATTTATCTAATGAATTATTAAATGTGGGCGCAGTACTATATTTAGTTTAGATAGAAATTTTGAATTTTATTTACTGCGGTCCGCGATGACCTTAAACTATGATGAATATTTTCGTCCATACACATGATATTAAACTGTATCATAATTATAGTCCGATTTATTGGATTATAGTTCTTGTAATTATATTTTTATTTTATTTATTTATTGGTTCGTTTTGTTTATATAGTATAAGACATCATTGTGAATGTGATTTAATCTGGAATGTGATTGTGATAATGGTAATGTAGATCAGATAATACAATGAACTTCGGAATTGCGTAGTGATGATCATAGTAATTGTAACATTACAATAAGAATATGAATATAATTTTGGAAAAATTTGAACTCATTACAAAAGACAAAATTTACAAAGGAATAAGAAAATGCGTAAACAAAAGAAATATTAATGCATAATATCCAAAAAGAGTAATATTGGATACAGAACTACGTAGGAACTTGAAAATACATAAAAAGAGTGAATTTTGGAATTTAGAATAAGGCGTAGTATTTTAATAGCTTATGGGGAATCAATCGATAAAATGTTAGTAAGGTGGAAATTTGAATAATTTAATAATAATTTTGTCGTTTTGATATTATTTTATTTCATGAAATGCAATACGAGAATAATGTTAAGTAGGGAGAATTATCGCAGTCTGAAAATGATAATCGGGATTTTGAAGTTTTATTAATGTATTAAGAAAGTTGTAATATGTTAAGTATGGGGAAACTATCAAAAGCAAATTAAGAAAGTATATTGAGTAATGAATTTTGGATGAGAAAGTTATTTTTTATTATTTTATTTTAGTTTTATTAATATTATTATTATATTTTATATTTAGAAATCAAGCATAGACCTCGGGATAATTTTAGTTGTTTTGTATTAATTATCTTTATGAATAAAAGAAACAATGTTCAATGACGTGGTGGCAAATGTACAATAGTACAGGCACGTCATTACAATATCAATGATTTTCACGGCGCAGCCGTGAAAATCAGTGACTCCGTGAAATAACTGATTTATCTCACGGTATCCGTACCATAAAGCCCTTTGATATACTTATTTTGACTAATAATGATAGACTTTTTGTTCCAGGCTTTTTATCCATCTTTTTAAATAAACCCACCCGCGAGAATATCAAGAAAGAAAAATAACAAATTTTAACTAGGACCGTGGGATAAATAAGGTATACCGCTATAGGATTATACTAATATTATTTTCTTATTATCTAATTAAATACCAAACTGTGTTGTACTATAATGAAAATTTAATGATACGATTGTAAATTTTGATTTTAATGTTTTAAAACATTAGGTTGTAGAATTTAAGACCTTTTAACACTGATTAATAAAAGTTATCAATTGTAAACTGATAAAATATTAATTATGTATCTCTGCTTTGTCAATAACATATTTGTTATTACTATACTTCAAATGATGATAATTTCATTTCAGTCGGAATTATTGTAAATTCCGGTGAATAAACCAAAATTATATCGTTGTTATGGAATACTGATGGAATTCAATTTTATTAATTATCATTGGAATGATAAGATTTGCAAATATAGTCAAAAAAAATTTAAAGATGAAAGAAATAAATTTTATATTTGATTTACAAAAAAATTGTTATGAAACTTGCTAAAAAATTAGTTCTTAACAAAGTTTATTTTGAATGTTCGTGAAATTTCGTGTAATTTTAAAAAAATAATTTATTATAAATTGATAGCGGTAAGTTTGAAATGTACTAAATACATCTTTGAATTTACATTCTCAAATAATACCAATTTTATTAAAGATATCAATACTTTCAATTGAACAATTAGTGCAAAATTGTTTCTATATTTCAATAGATTGAACGTAGCTAGACGTGGTAATACTCGTTCTAGCCGTGAAAATAATATCTTTGTTCCTTTAATGAACGTTCATATCCAAGAACGTAGTTATGGTTGTTTTATTCGTAGAATCTCATTACCACCGAATGTAAAATCAAATGATGACACAGCTGAAACTTCCTAAGAGCTTTTCTAAATCACTATCTGATATAGTAGGTATAAAGATGTAATGGGTAGATGAAATAGAAAAAGAAAAGAATAAAGGACGATAAAAGAAGATATAAAGCAATACAAGATAAAGAAGATGAAGTGACATTTAGGAAATAAAATGCAGAAAAAAAAGAAAAAAAAAATTTAAAATAGAAAAAAAAATTTAATTAACAATAATTAATGTACCGACGTAAATAGAAAATATTACATAGTTTAATAGCGTAAAAATTTAGTTATTTAATGAAAATTACTGCGTACTGCGGTACCAAGGTGATCATCGACTGATTGTTTGGTGATACTAAATCACGCTGTACGCTTGTACGACTATTGTCGGAGAAAAAAAAAATATAAAATAGGAATACACAATAAAACTTTAAATAAATTTTTACTTTTCATTTTTTTCTTAACTTTATTATTAACTTATCATTATTCAATACGTTTGATAACGCTCAATAATATCAAAATGCAAGATACCGAGTATACAAATAAACGAGAATTTAATGACACCTCTTTAAGTATTAATAATTCAGAATTTCAAGGAGATTTATCTCAACTTATTCAAAATTTTGATAAAATTAGTATAAAAGAAATTGATCCTATAGCAATATCAAGTATACAAGAAAATCCTTCAACTGAAATAGAGATAGTTGATGAAATAAATAATTTTATTTTTAAATTATTAAACGAAGGATCTAAATATTTAGTGAAACAGCAAGTTATTGAATATTTTAATGATCATAATATAAATTCACAAGAATTTTATAATTGGTTATTAAATAATCAAAATAGTTTAAATTCTATTTTTTTACTTGGATTTTTTAATTATCATGGAATTGAAACAAATAAAAATGATGAGAAAGCATTTAATTTGTTTATTAACTCTTCAGAAAAAAATCATATATTAGCACAATATTTTGTTGGTGAATTTTATTTATATGGTTATGGAACTATAAAAAATGGTAAATTAGCTATTGAATATTATAAAAAAGTAGTTGATAAAAATTTTACGCCTGGACAAGTAAGCATTGGTTATTGTTATTCAAATGGAATAGGTGTTGAAAAAGATTTAATAAAGTCAATTTATTGGAATAAAAAAGCTGCAAAGAATGGAAACTTAATGGCAATGTATAATCTTGGTATCATATATGAAGATGGAACTGATATGAAAAAAGATAATAATAAAGCTTTTAAATTGTTTAAGCAATCGGCTGAAGGAGGATATTTAAATGGAATAATGATGTTAGGATATTGTTATGATTTAGGTATTGGAACTAAAATTGATAAATATAAAGCATTTGAATTATATCAAAATGCTGCAAATTTAGGACAAGATTTAGCACAAAATAATCTTGCTTTAATGTATGAAGAAGGAGATGGAATTGCTAAAGATATAGATAAAGCAATATATTGGTTTGAAAAATCTGCCAAACAAGGAAATGAGTTAGCCAAAAATAATTTAAGTAACCTTCAGGAAAAAATCAATAATTTATAGTAATTTTTTAATTATTAAATTAAAACATTAAATTATTTTATTTACAGTGTTTATTTTTTCTAAAATTTACAAGTTAGTAAATACACTTTAAATATAAAATAAATAAATTGTTATAATTTTATTATATATTCCATATAACTAGGAAACGGAAGCCGTTGTAAGTCCGGAGCGAAAAAAAAAGATAAAACTCCAGATTTGCATTGGATGATGTCACGTGAAGGACAGAGAAACTCACGTGATCAATCATTTTTCATAATGCGTAGACATATATGGTCCTTCGCTTCGCTCCGGACAATCATTTTTATATGCTTTTCTTTTATGCTTAAACATAATTTGTGTATGCCATAATATCTAAAAATTCAAAAGTATAAAATTTTAATGCTTGTATTCTTTTCTAAAATTATAGGAAACTAATTCAATTCTAAAATGATAATAAGTAAGTAAAACATAAATCTTAAAGTTAAAATAAAAGAAAGTTACTAATTTGGTTTCGATATTTTAGCTTTTCTAACTTTTTCCCAACAAAAAAAAACAAAAAAAAGAATTAATTAATTAAAAGTTTTTAAGCTATACTTATTAAACTAACAATTATAAAAATGCAACGATTATTACTGAATTTTAATTATGTAATATTTCATTCCTAATCTATTTATATTTTAGTATTTTAATCATTCAAAAGCTTTTCTTTTACAGAATTTAATTCTTCAAGTTTCATATCTAATTTGAATAAGAATTTACACAAAATGACATAATATCTATATATTAATTTATAATATTCATTAAATAATTACTATCCATTTACTGATGGGCATTTTTTTTCTAATTTATCATTTATATAGGTGATTTTTAAAGGAAGATAAATTAAATTTTTGCGAAAATAGAATAAAAAGCAAAACAATTATAAAGAAGTCATATTATTCTTAAAGATTATCATGGCAGAGGAACTAGTAACTGAAAATAAAAGGAAAATATATAATTCATAATGTAAATTAAATCGCATAATATGAATAAGTCGCTTTTCTTTGTTTCTGTTTTTTCACCTTCAAATAAAAAAAGAAAACAATAGGTAACTTTCAAAGTATGTATTGTATTATTATTAAACAAATCATGGAATATTTTTCAGAAATAAACTGAAGAATCTTTATATTCATGTCTAGTATTTACTAATGGAAAGTAATCTGTGATAAATAATGTATTTATTCAGGAGAAAAATTATCGAAATTCTTAACTAAAATGTTTTATTAAAAAAATCAAAATTTTCCTCATTATTTATTATTGAAAAAATAATAAAAAATGATTTTTTATTATTACAAAAACACCCACTTTTAAGGTTAGTTTACATATTCTTCAAGAATAATAAATTAGTATGAAAAGAACGTTAAAAATTAAATATTTTAATATGCCAAAATTTGTGTATTTTCGAATATTCTGCATTGAAATCTTTATCATACTTTTAATTTTAAAGATTTAATATTATATCCTGTCCTGAAGAAATGATTCATAAATTAAAACGTATCAATTTTTGATTGCGATAATATTAAAAATATTAAATCTAAAAATTCAATTATCATAATAATATAAATGATCTCTCAAACTCAGACTCAGAAGAAATTATGTCTGAAGAAAGTTTAAATTATAATGATAATATAAGTATTTTAATTCTCTCAAAAAAAATTCGAGAGAAATAAAATTATATACATCAGACAGATGGTGAATCTTTTTAAAAGGGTAAACTATTCTAATTCTTTAGGAATTCTTGAACTTTGTAATTACAACTGTTTGAATTATTTGCCAATTCAAGCAATTTCAAATTTATTGATCTAGCAGAATTGAAAGTTTGCATTTATAGTTTTGATTATACGATGATGATGATAGTGTTAACGATAATAATTTAAGAGGAATTTATTTGCCAAAACTTGATATTTTCCTTATATATTTTTAGAGAAAAGGATTTAATATTCATTGCTAAATTAACAGAAACTACAAAAGGTACTTTAAGAATTCTAACTATTCATTCTCATACAAGCAATGCAACAATTGAAATGGCAACAAATAATACGAAATATACAATTTATACAACATAATCATCGTCAATCGAACTATATCTTCACAATTAAAGTAACATTTTCAACTATTGAAATTATACTGGGGTGGTTAGGATCGACATCTTTGTGAAAATTTTGGATAAAATCTTCAAAAAATTTATTTGATGATATTTTAACTGAAATAATTTTGCATTTGCTTGTTGGTCATAAAATAATCATCCCAATTTTATTTAATTTAGAACTAGAAAGTTTTTTTAATTAAAACTTCAGAATTTTTTTCAAAAAATAACATTTATATTAAATCAAATTATATACCAACAAAACTCCAATATGTTGTTGATATGATTATAGTAAATTCATTCAATTTTATTCAAATAACATCAACATTATAGCGAATAAAAAAATTTGATTTTTACCAAAAAAGGAGTTATATCTCTCCTAATAGTACTCTGTAAATAATTATGTGGCTTATAATACTTTTAATAAATTCTTTTTACAGTACGACATTTTTTTTAAAAAATTTCTTAATGTCTACTTGTTTGCAATAAAAATAGTAGTTAAGATTAATTACTTTCCATTTATTTATTCATTTATTTTTATTTTTTTTTTTGACTTTTTATAAAGAAAAAAAGAGTAAGAAACTGGAATGGTTTTTAACCAAAAATACTTATATACAATATTAAAAATAGACTGGTTTCATTTTTTATCTCAGCTTTAAATTTTTATATTTTACTTTTTATTATCTGTTATCTGTTTATAATTGATTTTTTCCCAAAATTATTTTCTGAAAATAAAAAAGAACGAATTTCCACGTTTTTAAATTTCTGTTGTTGATAGATAGTATGGCAGACACAAAACACGTTTTAGCATGAAATAAAATATATATAAAAAATAATTATAATAGTTTATTTATGTTTCTAAATTTTTAAGAAAAATAAATGCTGTAAATTAATGATCTACAATTTTAAGGAAAATTAAATTATTGATTATTTTGAAGTATCTCTAGTTTATTTTGTGCATTCTGATATCCTTGTTCAGCAGCTTTTTTATACCAATGAATTGCTTTATCTATATCTTTTGCAATTCCATCTCCATTTTTATACATATTACCAAGATTATATTGTGCTACATCATGTCCTAAATTTGCCGCTATTTGATATAATTCAATTGCTTTTTGTATATCGATTTTAGTTCCAATACCATAATTATAACAATATCCCAACATCATTATTCCACGTGAATATCCTCCTTCAGCTGATTGCTTAAACAATTCAAATGCTTTATTATAATCTTTTTCAACACCATTTCCATTTCTATAACAATTACCAAGGTTATTTAATGCTAATATGTTTCCATTATTTGCAGCTTTTTCATACCAATAAAAAGCCTTTTTTAAATCTTTCATACCTATTCCACATTTATAGCAATAACCAAGAGTTAATTGACTATATGATAAATTTTGATTAGCCACTTTTTCAAAATATTTTAAACCTAATTTTTCATTTTTCATAGTTCCATTTCCATCTTGATAACAATAACCAATAAAATGTTGTGCTAATAAATGATTTTGTTCTGATGCATTAATAAACAAATTAAATGCTTTCTCATAATTTAAACTTGTTACAATGCCATGATAATTAAAATATCCAAGTAAAAAAATAGGATTTGCATTATTATTTTGATTAATTAATAACCAATTATAAATTTCTTGTAAATTTAAATTTTGATCATTAAAATATTCAGTAACTTTTTCATTTACTAATTTCCATTCAATACCTTTACTTAGTATTTTAGAAATAAAATCATATATTTTATCAACTATTATGCTAAAACCTTTTTCAGTTGAAAGAGTTTTTTGTTCACTTGATATTGCCATAGAATTAATTTCATTTGTATCCATTTTATCAAAATTTTGAATAAGTTGAGATAATTCTCCTTGTAATTCTGAATTGTTAGTACTTAAAGAGGCCTCATTAGGTTCTTTGTTTGATAATTGATAATTTTCTTCTATTGAGTCTGTTTTTGAAAATATGCCATTTAGCCAATCAATTACTTGATATATAGTTGGTCGATTATCTGGTTCTCCATCCCAACATTCTAAAAGTCAAACATAATTAGAACTAATAATATATAAAATTCAAAACTAAAAATATTACTCACTGGTATAAATTTTAACATATTCATCAGGAGTATCAGGAACAATAGTTTCTCTAAGACCTTGTGTAATTTCCAAAGCTAAACCAATATCATAATGCTCACCTTCAGTATAAAAGGGAGGTCGTCCACTGGATAATTCCCATAATAATATGCCAACACTGTAAACGTCACTCTTTTCATTTAATGAATACATTTGTGTTGACTGGTCATTATTGTTTCTTTGTCTTCTAAAGCTCTTTGGATCAACATAAGGAATTATTCCAAATAATTTAGATTGAAAATTAGATGATGCTCCAATTCTTTTTGATAATCCAAAATCTGCTAATTTGATTATGTTATTACGGACTAGTATATTACAGGAGTGCTATTAAAGAAACATATATATATTCAAATAAGTAACACAACTACACTATTATTAATGGTCAAATAATGTTAAATATATTACCAAATCACGATGCACTATTTTTTCATCATGTAAGCATGATACGGCACAAGATAACTGGTATGCCATATTATATTTGTCGTTCCAAGTAAGATTATTAAAATTTTCCTCCAAATAACTTCGAAGAGTACCACCATCAGCGTATTCCAATACTAACTGATAATTATTATGATATTCTAATGAATAAAAGAAATAATTATCAAAATGAACTTTGTGAATTTTGCGATAAAAAGTAAATTATATTTATTAAGGTGACTTTAATAATACCTGATTCAAGTTTTGTTATCCCATAGCAACGAATAATATTATCATGAAAATCAACTTCGCGTTGAATTTTTAACTGAATAAAAAATAAAATATTTGAAATAAATATATTATATAAAATTTTATAGACGAAAAAAAAAAATATATTATATATTAAAATACCTCACGAACTATTTCTTTCATGGTGAAGCTATTAAGACTAAAAAAAGACTTTAACGCAAATTGTTTTTTTGAATTTTTCCAATTTGCACGATATACATTTCCAAAACCTCCGGTACCAATAGGTTGAATATTATCAAATTCTTTATATTCATAAAATTTTAAATGTTCTTTATCGATAGCTTCCTCAATCCAATTAATCCACTCATTTGTATTTTCGGTACCTTGCATTTTAATATTATTGAACGTTATCGAATGTATTGAATAATGATAAGTTTAACAGTAAAGTTAAAAAAATAAATAAAAATTTTTAAAGTTTTATTGTGTGTGACCATTTATAATTTTTTTCGTAGCACAACGTTATTTAGTATTACCATTTGGGCATCCTTAACGTACAGTAGGGGTGTACAATATTAACGTACAAACTGGCCCGCGTTTAGGAGTTATGCACTTGCACGTGATAGCGTTAACGTTAATTCTGGTCAGTTCGTACATTAATATCGTACACCCCCACTGTACATTAAGGAATCCCTTACCATTTACCAAACAAAAAGTCAAATCCTCAGTACCGCAGTAATTTCAAATAATGACGTCATCATGAAAATTTTTTTGAAAAAAATATATCAATGTCATTAAAGTATTTTTTTATTTTTATCAGAAGTACTATAGGCGACATACAGCTCCTTTCTTGACAAAAATCTGATATTATTTGAATAAAATTGAACTACCACAATCATTTCAACATGATATTGGAGTTTTTTTTCAGAATGTATAAGATTAAAATAAGAACAAATAAATGAATTTTAATTGAAGTGAGAAGGTAATGATTTTATGGCCAATAAATTCATTACTTGAATAATTTATTTTAATCGTGAGAAGATTTATTTAATTCGATTAATGATGCCATGATGGTGATGGTAATTTATTTCGTAATAATAATTTTGTATACTGTATTGTATTATTTATTATTATTTCAATTTACATTATTTGTATGAGGACGAATATTAATTCAGCAACAGATTTTAAATCTTTCTCTCTAAAATATTTAAAGAAAGAATTTCATGTTTTGGTAAATAAGCTCCCTTTAAATTAAATATTATCCAAACAAAATTAAATATGTATCTTTTCAGAACGAGATATAATATTAATACTCTGAAGAAATTATGTGAATATATATAATAATTTAATTTTCCAAAAAGTAAACGCTTATTTATAGATCTTATTCGAATTATGTGATGTGGCGTACAATATTGAAATGATAAATATTTACTCCAGATATTTACAATATTCATTGTAAATTTCCGTATATATATCAAGTCAACTAATTAATAATAATAAAATATTATCTGATATTGTTGGATTTAATTTCTAGTAATAAGAATATAAAAGAAAGAAAAAGTTTATTGATAAATACAGCCACTTCGTGACGTTAACCGATATACAATAAATACAATATTCATAAAATATTTGATCATTCTACTGAATAATCTTAAATTAAGAATAATATGACTTTTATGAACTCTAATACTTTTGCTAAAATTTGACATACTATATCTTCCCAAAATTAGATTATTTAAAGATTTATTAGTATGATATCAATTAGTTAATATTGTCGTTTTATGGAAACTTTTATTAAAATTAGATATGAACCTCTAATAATTATGAAGAAATCTTTCAATTGGAATCATGTTATTATTCAATTAAATTCATAATAAATAATTATTATTATTTTCTAAATGATGCGACTAAAAGAATATTATATTTATTATGGTAACTTTAATAATACCATAGCAACGAATAGTGTTATCATGAAAATCAACTTCATGCTTGAATTTTAACAAAATAAAATTCAAATTTTTGAAATAAATATATGGACTAAAGATCATAGACAAAAAACATTATTATTAAGTTAAATTACCTCATGAACGATTTGATGTTGTCAAAGATTTTAATGCGAATTGTTTTCTGTTTTTTACTAATTTGCACGATAAACTTTTGTAAAACCTCCGGTACCATATTGTTAAATTGTAATTGTTTGTATTCATAAAATTTGAAATATTCTTTATCGACAGCTTACTGTATCTTGCATTTTGATATTATTATCAATAAATATCAAACGTATTGAATAATAACAGGTTTGACGGCAAAATAAAAAAAACAATGAAAAGTTGCACAACATCGTCAATAACTTGATGCACTTAAGTTTCGTGGGCGCGGTTTGTGTCGATCTTCACCATATAAGGACCAAGTGACATTTAAGTGTCACCTGATCACGTGCAGCTACGGGTTCAAAACATTAAGTATCTGAGGAACTTGGTTTTTTTTTTAGTGTCAAAAATTTATTTGTCACCCCGTGATACAAAAAATACGCCCACAAAACTTGGGTGCTAAGTTGATACATAATGACGTCATGAGATTTGTTTACGGAATGATTTTCGTTCAAGGTCGAACGATGATTTCTAAATATTACGCAAAAATTTATCGTTATATCGATAAAGTAATCTATTTTTTTAATATAAAATAATCTAGATGTTGCGTAATATAATCTTCCTTGGTTTAATCTTTGTATAGATAAAGTTGCAACTTATATCTAAAAAACTCTGACGAATCAAACATTGATCCAACAATAAACATACTAAAAGAAGGTAAATACGTTATGATTAGGTAATTAAAAGCTACAATATAATCATATTTGATATTGTTGTGTGTTGATATCATTTATACTTATATGAAAATCTTGTACAACAAAAAAATAATATTTATACAGTCTTTTTCTTTTTTTTTTTTAATACACCCATCTCTTTCACTCCTCCTTCAGACACAACTAAATAAATACTTTCTTTTCAAATAAATATCTTAAATACCTTTTTTTTTTACGCGTAAATAAATACCTTTTTTTTCACGCGTAAATAAATACTTTTTTTTCTCACACATATATAAATACTTTTTTTTCACGCGTAAATAATTATTAAGGCGGAATATATATATATATCAACATCAAGAACTGTATTTACTGGCGGAACTGCCTTTGGATAACATATGGGTATGAGTTTCACTAGCTATTGGAAACTTGTTTTGTAAGTGAAAAACCACTCCAACTACTCCTGTCAGTTTAGACGCTTTGTGGTTCTTTTTTACATGTTTTCTGCTGTCTATCAAATTTTTTAGGCAGATCAACTGAAGCGGTACATTTAAGATAATGCCAAATTTGGTATCTATTGCGATAGAGGACAAGCTAACATTAAACGAGGCTGGGTCATATCATTAAATGGTGAGTATAAATAACAGTTGCCGGATGGAAGTACGAGTACGTGTTTACCGGATGAGGGATCGCAGAAAGTCTTCCGGATGGTGGATTGTTATGATTGGCATAGAGGTTTATGTGCTCGTAGTACGTACCATATGCTACTGGCGAGTAGTCATCTGCTTTGTGCACAAGTCGTAGCTACAATGACGCCACATAGGTGATCCCCAAGCCGATCCATATGGGAGGGCAGGCCGTGGTGCCCGTGGAAATGACACATATTTCTATGCCATGACTCATGACACTTACTTAGTTGTTGTTATTGAATACTATATGAGATTGCCATAGATCCTATGATGGCCACATAGGTGTCCTGGGGTTCCCTGCTCATGCATAATTAACAGGGTGGTAATTCTTATATGGTATTAGGGGATAGTGACTAAAAAATTTTGAAAATTTTGTAGGGCGTATATCAATTCATTTTGTCCTTATCTCTGAAAATATGAGATAAATCTGCATTATGAAATTTCTGAATTGGAGTAGGACGAATATTGAAGTCAAGATAATAATTTCAATTTTTTCAATATTTTATTATATGATAAAGAAAAATATATATTGATTACGGATCGATAGGACTCCGAAGAATTCATATAAGTTTCCATCAATGCTGATATTTTGAATGTATAGTACAAAATAATATTTATCGTAATTTAAAATCTGCAATTAGATTAAAACTTTTATCAATTTGTTATTTATTTAGTTCTGATGTATTTCAGGTTCTTTTGCAATGCAAGTTAATGGCTTCACCAAATTTTTAGGATGAATGTTAATTTTAATATTGTATATAAACATAAAGCAGATAAAAAAGAAATCTTTACAATATATTTTATTTGTTTCACAATTTTCTAATGATCTCTTATGGAATGGTTACCAAATAAAACAAATAGGAAATTTATTACAAGTAGAAAATAAATTTAGTACCGATCTACCTTTTTTAAAGGCACAAATCGGACTCAAACTCGTAATACAACGCTAAGAAATTGAGAAGAACGATAAGTTATAGTAGTATTGCTTTACTTGTGAAAGATTTAAAAGGATAAAGATATTAATTTAAGAATAATAAAAAGTTCGTACTCATTGGCAAAGTTTCAGTTGATTTGATTAAACTTGATCTTTAAGTACATCCAATTGTTCGAATTTTTTAATTATCTTAGTAAATATGTGATACATAAAATGAGTAAATAAGGAGTTAACTAATGTGTTCAAGGCTCTCTTTTGTATGGATTCTATACAAACATATCGTAATTGTCACAATTATCATAAATATATTGTGGATTTAAACTGAAATCCTAAACGGTTCATCCTAAATTTAATAATAGATAATAAATAGGAATGGGTTATAACTTATAACTGTAACTAATATTGATTGGTTAAAGTTTGACTGATACCCTGACTGGCTATTTGACCAATAATGATTGTAATTTAAGTTACGCTGAAAAAAAATTTTTAAAATAAGTGATCACACGATGGGTCTCGTGTGATACAGGAGAAATTCTCACATAAGTACTCAAGTATTTTTTCGCAAATAATTTCACTTTGCACTAATAACTTTATTCTGTCTCATCAAAGTTAATACAATCGTGAACGCTTTCCCTGTTAAAATAAGTAGGACGAACCTATTAGTGAACTAAAGAAAGAATTTTTCCGCAGACAAGTTCAAGCTATGGAAGGTGGCGATCGCGACAATTATTTGAGGAACTGAAATTAGTGGCGAAGGGTTTAAAGTCAAATTTCTTGGTACGGATTTTATATTTGCAAAAAATGATAATGACCATGCAATATTTGTAGGTGAAGAAAGAGATTTTCAAAAGGGGTAAAAGCAGTGTATCCTATTGATGGTATGACCTATATCAATTATCATGATAAAAAGATTTATTTTGAACAGTATTATAGTTGACGAAAAATATATTGATATTATAAAGCAATTATTTAGGTTACATATTTTCACATTTACATTGAAATTTGCCAATTTTCCTTACATAGTAAAATAAAAGTATGAACAAAAAATGATTTATCTGTTAAATAAATAAATGAATAATTAAATATACTTAATAATTAATAATTGTAAAATCATTGCTCCGATAATTTAAAACCATAGTTTGGTAACAGTAAGATAAAAAAAGATAAAAAAAGATAAAATAAATTTGTCAATTTTCCGACTGGTCACGCAAGGTCGCAAGGTAGAGACAAAAAAAAAAACAATAAAAAACGTGTAATCATCGTAATGCATGTAATGTAACACAGAAAAGCTTTGAAGTTGATACAAAAACCAAATGATCAACCAATGGCGTAATATTCTACTATACCCCTTTTATAACGTAATAAGATTTAACATAACAGATAACTATGATTTTGTATATTACATGTATTTTTCTTGTGTTTTTAAAATTTATTTTTTTGTTTTTTGTCGCCACTTTACTTGATTGACATCAATTTCAACTATTTTGATTCATGCACTACATCAACAACAACATTAAACAAAAATGCAAACGTGAGGCGGAAGTTGCAAATTTCCCTTATATACTTCTTTATCAAGAGATTTAATCATCATTTTTTTTCATTCAAATTATAAACGCCAAAATTAAAAATTAACACATAATATTGTCGCACGAGGATTTGTAGAACATTAGAGTATAAATATAAATATATCCCACTATTATGGTAAAAAAAAAGGTCCGTTCTTTATGTCATTATAAAGAAACTAATAGTATTTAACTGGTAATCTTTTATTGTCTAGTTTGAATGATTTTTTAATCGGTTAAATTCTAACCGGAAAGGACTTAATGTACTTTAAAATAATTTCTATCAATGATTTTATGTAAGTCCTTTGAAAAAAATAGTCATTTAAATTTTCATTTAAATTTTCAACAACATACTGTACGCTATTGCTATTTATAGATTTATAAGTATATTTAAGACATTTATGTAATCAAATTTAAAAAAATTTGATTCATGTAATCGCTTTAATAATAAAACGTAATATAATAAAATAAATAAACAAAAATTATAAACCATAAAATTGAAATATTCCAGAAATTGAAATTTTTAAATTTGATAAAATAGTTTTTCCCGTCATTCAAGAAGTTCCTAAATTTAGTTTATGCCGATCTCTGTTTATGCAGTTGCGGCGATTACAAAACTTGGCAGCTGACCACAACTTACACAAATAAAGCCTCATTTCATTTGTTACTTTCTCCTTTTTGTTTTGAATACGTAACAAAAACAATAGATATTTAGATAATATAAATAGATTATGCTAGCAAAATATGAAAAAAGAAAAAAGAATAAAGAAAATAAAAAATGTCCCTTAATAAATATCAAACTTTTCCATTGGCAAAAAATTCAGACTTATTTAAAAACGAAATTGAAAATAATGAAAATACAAATATATCAATAGATTGGATTGAGGATGCCATTGAAAAAAAATATATAAAGTATTATGATTGCAAGTATTTTAGTGATATTCAAGAAATTGGTACTGGAGGTTTCGGCAAAGTATATCGTGTTAAATGGAAAAATTCGGAATATTATTTAGCGTTAAAAACTTTTAAAGATCCTGACAACGTTACTATAAAAGAAATTGTTCGTGAGGTAAATTTTGAAATGTAGCGCTTATATTTTTTAACGTTTTTTTTTCGTTTCTTTTTTTTTTTAATACTTTACGTACCTTTTTAATTTTTTAGCTTAATTTTCAACGAGACGTAGATCATCATAATAATATTATTCGCTTCCATGGAATATCAAAGTCAGGTATTAATACAGCATATTATAATAATGTTCAAAGTTGATTGAATAAACTTAAAATCAAATAATATATATATATTTTTTTTATTTACCAGTAAATTCAAACAATCAAATGAAGATAGATTCATTAGTAATGGAATATGCCGATGGAGGTAATCTTCGAGGCTATTTAAAAGAACACTTTAATAACCTCACTTGGAATGATAAGTTAAATATGGCGCTTCAATTGGCTTGTGCTGTATCGTGCTTACACAGTGTTGGCCAGTGACTCAAATGACCTCAAATGACTCAAATGACTGGTCACGTATCATTTGAGTCATTTCAACATTAAATGACAAATGACCTAGTCATTTAAAAATTACATCATAATTCTGGCCAAAACTATTCATACAATTTCACTATTTCATGGATAAAATTTTCACATGATATTAGAAGTTCATAATTCTGGCCGGCATCATTAACTTGGCCTGAATTATAAAGCATTAATTTTAAATGACTCAAATGACAAATGACCTAAATGACTAGGTCATTCGTAGGTCATTCGGAGGTCATCTCAAAATGGGCAAATGACCTAGTCATTTGCCATCACTGTGCTTACATGACGAAGGAATCGTTCATCGTGATTTGGTAATTTATTCAATAAATTTATTTGATAATTGAAATAAATGTTTACGTTATTATGTTATTAATTTTTATTTTTATTAATAGCATTCCGGTAATGTGTTGGTTCATCAAAACATCATCAAGTTAGCAGATTTTGCAAGAAAAATTGAAGAAGTATCTAAAACGCATTCAGGTTCTTTCGGCGTCGTGCCCTATATCGACCCAAAAAAGTTTAATTCAGAACCATATACCTTAAATAAAATGAGTGATATTTATAGTCTTGGTGTGCTATTATGGGAGATATCGAGTGGTCAGCCACCCTTTAAAGATGAATTGTATGAATTTTTACATGGTTGAATTTTAAATGGTCTTAGGGAAACGTCGGTTTTAAATACACCCGAAGACTATATAATAATTTATACCGGTTAATGAAAAAAAAAAAATTAAATTTACAGTCAACACATCATTTTAACTTATTGAAAAAATTTTATTTTTTTTTAGAATGTTGGGATAGTGAACCAGATAATCGTCCAATTATACATCAGGTAGTTTCTCGATTGAAAGAAATAATTACAAAAGAATATGGAGTAATGGGGAATCATCACCTTTTGTCACCAAATAAAAGTAACGGTAATTCATCGCGAAGTACAAAATCAACAACGATATCTAGCAACCAAATTATCAATATTAATTTTACGTCTGAAAAAGACGTTAGAGGATTCCGAAATATACGTTCTCAGAGTATGCGTGCAATTAAGCGAGAAATTATGCATGTCTTTTGTTTGTTACGAACTTATGTAATTTTAACGTTGAAGAAATGTGTAGAATTAACAGCAAATATATACCGATATATATTTTGGAGACCCGATGTTAAAACAATGGTTGATAAAACCGTCGAACTTATCTTTGAATTAATAAATGGAGGGACTGAATGGAATTCGGAAAAGCAACAGATTCTTAATTATCTTAATAATAATAATGATCATAATATAAATTCAAAAATAATTTATAATTGGTTATTAATTAATCAAAATTATTCAAATTCTATTTTTTTACTTGGATGTTTTAATTATTATGGAATTGAGACTAATAAGAATTATGAAAAAGCATATAAATTATTTGTCAATAAGTCGGTTCAAAATCACATATTAGCATTGTATTACGTCGGCCATTGTTATATGTTTGGATATGGAACTTTAAAGGATGAAAAATCGGCATTTAAATATTATGAAATGGTTGCCAATAAAGGTTGTGTAGGAGGACAGAACAATGTTGGTTATTGTTATAGTCATGGAAAGGGTGTCAAAAAAGACTTAAAAAAGGCTATTTCTTGGTATGAAAAAGCTGCAAATAATGGGAACGCTAACGCTCAAAGAAATCTTGGTGTAAAGTATATGGACGGCGAAGGGGTTGATAAAAATGATAATAAAGCGTTCGAGTTATTTAAGAAATCAGCTGAAGGAGGAAATTCAAAAGGAATAATGATGTTAGGATATTGTTATGACTGTGGAATTGGAACTAATATTGATAAATATAAGGCGGCCGAATTATACCAATATGCCGCAAATTTAGGGAATATTACAGCTCAATACAATCTCGCTATGTTGTATGAAAATGGCGAAGGAATTATACAAGATATGAATCTAGCGATTTATTGGTATAAAAAATCTTCTGAGCAAGGAAATCAAGATGCTCAAAAAATGTTAGACAATCTTATGAAATTAATAGAAACAAAAAAAGAATTAATTTATAGAATAAGTTATTAAAGTTATTACGTAATTTTTGGAGTCAATTTTACTTAATTGGCATTATTACGTCATTGCCCTTAATATACTTTACAAAGTAAATTCTACTGTAAATAAGCATCATATTAGCGCATTTTCAACATACTAGACGTTGAAATGATATTAAAATTCATATTTTTAAAAAAAATTTATTCTCAAATATTAAATCTTATTTTTTTTTATATATAAATATTCTCTCATTGATAATACATTCTATTTTAGTATTATATGTAATTACTATTAATCATTTAAATAAATTCTGCACTGATAAAATTTTTTAATTCATATATAAATTGTTAATTCTGACTTAACTTGTCCGATTCAATTAGGAATATTTATAATATGAGACAAGTTATAACAATGTTTACTTGTTCTCATCTCGAATTATTCCTGAATTGATTTTAGTGATGATTAAAGTAAGTACGTAGAGTACTTTCTTTAATACGGAATTAAAATAAAATTCACATACTATACGTTGTGAATAATCATATAATATAAATAATCAATTTTAAATTGACAATGCGTCAATGTTCAATACTGCGGTACTGCGGCTAATGATAAATAACTTACTTTGTTTAGCTGTGCGACAATATTCACATGAAATACTTAAAAAAAGGTTACCATACACAATAAAAAGTTTTAAACTTTTGACGTTCAACTGTATCGGTTTTGAAAACTTTTCTGTCAATTATTATTATTATTCAATATATATGTCTGATAATAAGAAAATGCATTTAATGCAAGATACCGAAAATATGAATAATTGGTTTGAAGAAAAAACAATCATTACAAAAACAGATATAGTAGAAAATACTCAATTCTCAAGTAATCAAGAATTTAATAATGAAGAAACTTTAAGTATCAATAATTCAAAATTACAAGTCAAATCATCCCAACTTATTATTCAATATTTTGATAAAATAAATTTAAAAGAAATTGATCCTATAACAGTATTAAATAAAAGAGAGAAACTTTCATTTGAAAAAGGTTTTGATATAATAGTTGATGAAACAAATAATTTAATTTTTAAATTATTAAGTAAAGGAATTGGATGGCAATCATTAGAAGATCAAGTTATTGATTATTTTAATAATCATAATATTAATTTACAAGAAATTTATAATTGGCTATTATATTATCAAAATGATTCAAATTCTATTTTTTTATTTGGATATTTTAATTATAGAGGAATTGGAACGAATGTAAATAAAAAGAAAGCATTTAATTTATTTATTGATGAATCTAAAAAAAATCATATACTTGCACAACATTTTACAAGGGATTGTTATGAATATGGTAATGGAACTATAAAAAGTAAAAAATTAGCAATTGAATATTATGAAAAAGTGGCTAATAAAAATTTTCCATATGGACAATTTGAAACTGGTTATTGTTATTTTCATGGAATAGGTACTAAAAAAGATTTGAAAAAGGCTTTTTATTGGTACGATAAAGCTGTAAATAATGGAAACATAGTGGCAATGTATAATCTTGGCCATTGTTATAAGGAAGGACTTGGCATTAAAAAAGATAATAATAAAGCTTTTGAATTATTTAAACAATCAGCTGAAGGGGAATATCCAAGTGGAATAACAATGTTAGGATATTGTTATGGTGAAGGTATTGGAACTAAAATTGATAAACATAAAAGCATTTGAATATTATCAAAAATCAGCAAATTTAGAAAATATGATAGCACAATTTCTTCTTGGTGTTATGTATGAATATGGAGAAGGAATTACAAAAGACATAGGCAAAGCAATTTATTGGTATAAAAAATTTTCCAAAAAAGGATATCAAAGTGCACAAAATAAGTTACTTAAACTTCAAAATATCAATAATTTGTAAAAATATAAATCAATTATTAAATTCTCTACAATGTTTTTTTTAAAAAATTTACAAAATAGCAGGAATAGTACTCTATATAAATAAGTGTTATTATTATTTTTATTGCAAGCAATTATTTTTTTTTCTGAAATTAATTGAACTTAAAATAATTAGCACTTATCTTTCATATATGTACATCATAAAGTAGTAATCGTATATATGAATAAAAAGATTGTGAAAGATGATACTATAAAAGCAATACTCTTTTTTTATTTAAAGCAAAAAAATTTCAAACTTTTTGTAAAAGAAATTTTTAATAATAAAATATAAATGACAATTTTTTAATAACAAAACGAGATTTTTTTGTTTATTGAAATTATGTATGTGTCAAAGAGACTTTTGTGATGTTAATTAATATTATTCAATAATGATGTATGCTTATTTTAAGTCAATTGGTCAATTGATACTTTCAACGCGCTAATATATACATATCCGGTATCCCATAAATATTAAATATTAATGATTGTTTTCATGTGCCACGCAGTGGCACAATGACGGCTAATCATTCGACATCCACCTCCATATTGAATACTCCGATTACTCCGTGCCTAGTAACTATAAATCAAATTGACTATTCTAAAAATCATTTTAATGTATTGTCAGTATTGATCCAAATAAAAGGTTAAAATAATGGTTTTGGCACGATTTCCCGACGGATGATTTTTCGACGGGACATTTGCCCGACAGGTTTGGCCAGAATTATGCAGGGTAACGGCCAGCGTTAGGCTGTCATGAAAATGCTCTGTTGGGAAACGGTCCGTAAGCGAAAATAATTACTCGGTCTGGATAAAAACTTTAATTTGGTTAAAATTTGAATTATACTCAACTATTTAGAAATTTTGTCACTATATGATCATAATGCTTAACACTAAGGGCCTCTGAATAAGTTACAAAACATAAAATCCCGATCATTAGCTCATGAAATATAATTTCATGTTATCCGAAATTTTCATCTATCTGAGTAAATCTATCGGATTTTGGAAACATGTTAGCGTTACGGGTGAACACAAGTTTCGTGATCTATTTCCAAATTAGGATTCCAAAAGAAGTTCACTTTTAATATATAAATAAACGGGACCTTTTCCAAATCCAACAATAACTACAACCTGGTAAGATTGGTTATTTAGTAGTATAATGTTTGAAAATTATGTATTGATTAAATGACACGGACTTATTTATACAAAAATATGCGATTACCTCGGCTATAAGTACTTAATTCCTATAACAACCTTTATCAAATTATTTAGATTTATAACAATTATGATAATTATTAATGGTTTATATCTATTAATTGGGATGTCTAGAATGTACATTACATTAAATGAATTAACTAAAATTTAGAAGAGTCAAAAGACTAAATTATTTTGTACATCTTGCCCTATAAATCAAAATCATTCAAAAAATGTGTTAATTCATATGATATTCATGCGATTTGGCACTATTTTATCCAATAAACATAAAAAAGCAATTTTAGTTAAATTTTAAGCATTTAAATATCCTCCGAAAATTATTTAAAAAATGTACAAAAAAAGTCATAAATAAAAGCATCATATTAACAATCAATTAATATACAATTTTTAATTGAAAGCTTTTATTGTATTAGGATTAAGATACAATGAATTTTTTTTGATTAATATTTTATAAAGAAATTTTTGTTACAATAAAATTTTTAGAATATTATTAAATTATTAATCAGAAATATAAAATTAATCTCTTTCGTAGATTATCCCAATTAGTCATTGTAGCTTAAAGATTTTGATCTTTGTCATATTAATTATAATTCCTTAGTTTATAATATAATAAACAAAATTTTATTGTTGAAATATAATGTTTCTACCATAATTGGCACATTTTTGCGGAGTAAAAAATAAATTTTTAAAATATTTATTGATAAAACATTTAAATTATTTAAATGAAGAGTTAAAATAAAATTATTAAAAATTCATTTTATTAATTACTATTTTACGCAGACAATTAAAAATTAGAAGTTACACACACTGATTATTAAAGTTTGGTGACCTAACTTAAATTAGAAGTAAAATGATCGACAGTTACCTTTGGCGTTCAGTGATACCATATTTATAAATAGTTAAAAAAATTATAAATATGTAAATAGTTGAAACAAAAAAAAAATATTTCTTCAATTTTCGAAAAGCATAAATTTAAATTCCGCAGTAATAATTTTTTTTCGTACCCAACAATGTCTAGTAACGCTGAACTTGTTAGCAATTCAAATGATTGGAATAAATGGATTGAAGAAGCGATTTCTAAAAAACTTATTAAGTATTATGAGTATAACCAATTTTATAATATTCAAGAAATTGGTTCCGGTGGTTTTGGAAAAGTTTGTCGTGCTAATTGGAAGAATTCTCATAAGCGTTATGCCATAAAATCTTTTTTTAATATCAATGATGCTACAGTCAAAGCATTAGTTCGTGAGGTAGTTAACTAATTATAGTGTCAAACATTTTTCATTATTATTATAAATATTGAAATTTTTTGATGTAATAATTTATTTATTAACTAGATTCAACTTCAACGTGAAATTGATTTTCATGATAATGTTATTCGTTTTTATGGTGTCACAACTTCTATTAAAGGTATGATATATTCTAATATTATTTATTTCATAAAATATAATAATTAATTGATTAATAACAAAAAATTTTTTTTTTTAAAAGAAAATCAAAGAAAAGAATATTCGTTAGTGATAGAATATGCAGAAAATGGTACCCTCCGAAAATATTTGAAAGAAAATTTTGAAAATCTCACTTGGGATGATAAATTTAATCTCGCATTTCAATTGGTTTATGCAGTATCATGTTTGCATGATGATGGGATCATGCACCGTGATTTGGTAGTAGATATTTTACAATTTATTATGTGTTTTATTTTAATGTTTCTCTTATTTTAACGTCAATTTAATATTTATAGCACTCCAATAATGTGTTAGTCCATAAGAATACTATTAAGCTAGCAGATTTTGGTTTATCAAAAAGAATTGAGGAAACATCTAATTCTCAATCGAGAACATTTGGATTAATTCCTTATGCTGATCCAAAAAGCTTTAATAAAAGTACAAAAAAATTATATTTATTAAATAAAAAAAGTGATGTTTACAGCATTGGAGTATTACTATGGGAGATATCTAGTGGTCGGCCTCCTTTTCATGGTATACCGTATGATGTTGGCTTGGCTCAAAGTATTCTACAAGGACTCAGAGAGATACCTATTCCAAATACGTCTATAGATTATATAAAAATTTATACCGGTAAATACAATTTAACTATTACTTATAAATAATGTTGTTTTAATTAATTAAAGACGTTCTTTTTGTAGATTGTTGGAATATTGAACCTGATAATCGTCCAACTATTAATCAAGTAGTTGATGAATTAAAAGTACTTATAATAAAAGAAAACATAAATATAAAGGATTTTCATTTATATGATGATCACAATACTGTCCAATCATCAAACAACTATCAACTACTTGATTTAGATGTTAAAATTTCTGAAAGTACTAATTCATTACATGGAGAATTATCTCAAGTTATTCAAAATTTTAATATGATAAATACAAAAGAAATAGAACCTTCAATATCATCAAGTAACCAATTTGGTGATAACGTTAATATAATAGTTAATAATATGTTCAATTTATTTGATAATTATGATGATAATGTAGCAAAACAAAAGGTCTTAAGTTATCTTAATAAACAAAATATAACTTTGCAAGAGATTAATAATTTATTATTGAATAATCAAATTAACTCAAATTCTATTTACTTACTTGGAAAATTTAATGATTTAGGAATTGGGATTAGTATTGATGAGCAAAAAGCATTTGAGTTATATCAAAAAGCAGCAGATTTAGGAAATGTATTAGGAATAAATGATTTAGGATATTGTTATAAACATGGAATTGGAATTAATATTGATAAGAAAAAAGCATTTGAATTATATCAAAAAGCAGCATATTTAGGAAATTCATTTGGAATAAATAATTTAGGACATTGTTATAAAAATGGAATTGGAACTGATATTGATAAGAAAAAAGCATTTGATTTATATCAAAAGGCTGCAGATTTAGGAAATTCAACTGGAATAAATAATTTAGGATATTGTTATAAAAATGGAATTGGAACTGATATTGATAAGAAAAAAGCATTTGAATTATATCAAAAGGCTGCAGATTTAGAGAGTAATGCACTCAATATAATTAACTGTTAAAGATATAGATAAAGCTATTTATTGGTACAAAAAATCAGCTGAACAAGGAGATCAGGATGCTCAAATAAATTAAAAAACTAGGTGATGATTCGAGAGAAGTTGACCCGATGGATATTAATGTCACTTAGCTGGAATCTGCCCCAATAAAAAGTTTTTGTTGGGTTTTTGTAAAAAAAATGTAAGATAAGTTAATATAACCAATTTCGTACAATTATGAGCATTCGTTTGTACAATGTCTGTAATATTTTTGTATGGTATTTAAAATAAATTTGTTATAAACATGCATTATTTTTATATAGCATTTGAAAGTAATTTATTATAAATGTGTAATAAACTTGCACTTTATATTTGTGTTTTTTGTTTATTCTTCTAAATTTAAAATATAATAATCTATTGAACTTGATTTTTTTGGTTTGTGCTTTTGACCAGAGGTGCCAATGCTAATTCCTGAAATTAATATGTTTTTGGATATTATTCAACATCAGCAAATTTAATAAGGTGTAATATTACAAAAATTTACACCTGCAAAATACTCTGTAAATTTACAACCTTCAAAAAATAAGTGCAACCATATATTCCATAATTTTCATGCAATATTTCCGCAAGTTTACAAATTAGACAATCTTATATCAATAAAATATAAGACCAAAATATTAATAAATCTAATTTTGTAATATAAACAAATGTTTTAATCAAATATTATAAAAAAAACTTACACAAAAAATAAATACATGACATTTGATATGCAACCTATTTTATAATCATAAATAATTAAACCATATTAATAATTAAAAAAAAGGAATGCATCATTACATTATATTATTTTCATAAATTAGATAATACATACTAGTTATTCCATGGGTATCAATGAATAAAGAAAGTTATCACACAATTTTTTCCTAATTGCATCAATAAAATTATGACTGGCGAGTTAAAATAAAAAAAAAAGATTGACAGATCACCTGGGAATTACGGCTGATTTGGAAAAATTTGTAGATACTGTCACTACCGATTTTATACGATTCGTCAGGTAGTAACAGAAATAGAATATCAATTATTAACGTAATGTAACAATATATCAATGGGAAATCGATAATAATTGGTAGTGAAAGATGGGATAATATTCGATAAGGGTATATGAAATAAATATAAGTTTATGATGTACAGTATAATCGACAAATGATCGACAAAGTATTTATCAATATATCACGTTTTATTAATAAACTAATAAACTTGAAAATAAATAAACTGTATATAACAAAAAAAAATAATAAACAATAAATAATAAAATGTATAGTTAGGAATCGGCAAGAAACAGTGTGTCTTTATTAACAATTAACAAGAATTGAAAAGGAATCGACCATATTACTGCCTCACTCGGCGCTCTGTAATATTCGTTATTCCTTTACAAGGGTGAATTATCACTTGAATATTGCTAACTATCCTCCAAAATCGCTCCTCCCCCTATTCTTTAAATATCTCCCAAAATTCGGTACATTTTTGTCTATCGTTCAAATGGTCCTTTGGCCAATTAGTCCGCAGTACAAATCGTCCTTTGTACATCTTGTTCAAAGTACAAATTGTACCACTAAGCCTCCGATGATCATCCTTCAGCCACTAATTATCTAATCTTCCGATTCCGTCATTTAATCCAATAAATATATAAACTAAAAATATTATAAACAAATAAAAATAAACAATATCTAAACTATTCAATGAAATAACCTAAATTAATCTAAAAAAAAAATACTAAAAAATTTCGTAACAATACGCATATTTACCGATGACTAATTTGTTTTTGCCAATTTTTTTTAATTAACCAATTTTATTTTAAACAATTTTTTTCTAATTAACTAATTTTATTTTAGTATTCTGATTAGTTTGATTAGTTTACTAATCTTAATAAACTATACTAAATTGAAAAATTGATTTACCATTTTAGGTTTGATCTTGTGACTTTATTGGTAAATAACATTTTGACAATCATCCGTTTAACAATATCATTATTTTTTTTTTTCTTTGAATATTATTAATCAAGCCACTTCTTTCTACCATTTTGGGTTTATTCTTGTGGCTTTGAAATGAAAGAAAACTGAATAAAACGTCGATCATGTAATACAAGTAATACAATTCCTTTTCTTTTTTTAAAAAATTATTTTTTGCTTTTTTTTTAAAAAAAAATGTCCTTTGAATATTCTCAAGAACTTGCTGATGATTATGAAAATTTACTTAAAACTGATGGAGAATATAACGTTATTATCTACGCCGGTAAAAATAAAAATGTAGAAGAAATACATTCACATTCAATTATTTTATGTATCAGGTCTCAATATTTTCGTACGGCTTTTTCTAACGAATTGACCAAGAAAAAGGATGGAAAATATATTTTTAATTTTCCTAACATTTCTCCTCAATTCTTTAAAATTATTTTAAGGTAATGAAAAACAAGTAATAATAAAGTTAAAAGTAAACATAATATTATATACAGTCTATGTCAAAATTAATGACGGAATATTCATTTAATATTTAGGTTTATTTATTGTGGAAAGATAGATTTGGAGAAATTGCAGGGACCAGATATTCTAAAGCTTTTGGTGACAGCGGATGAACTTAAAATCCAAAGACTAGTGATTTGTATTCAGGAATATTTGATTAAACATCAACATGAATTTTTACAACAAAATCCTACCGAAATTCTTGAAGCAATCTATTTACGTGAAACGTTTACAGATTTATGGAATTATTGTTTTGAAGAAATTTGTACTAAACCAGATTTATTATTTAAATCTGATAAATTCATCAATTTAAAAGCACCTTTATTAGAATTACTTTTAAAAAGAGATGATTTGTCATTAGATGAAATTATTATATGGAATAGCTTGATTAAGTGGTGTTTTTCTCAGCATCCTACTATTCAACAAGATGTTAATAAATGGAATAAAGAAGAAATTGTAATTATGGAAAGAACCATTCATAGATTTATTCCGTTGATAAGATTTTATCATATTCCCTCAGCAGATTTTGTTACTAAAGTATATCCTTTTAAAGAAATATTGCCAAAGGATATAGTTAATAATATACTTGTATTTCACATGGCACCAGATGAGCAATTGAATGTGGATGTACAATCTCCCAGGAAACCAAAATGTGTTTATGATTCAGTTATCGTTGGTAACAAACATTTTGCTATTTTTTCTAACTGGATTGAAAAGAAAAATGAGTCTTACTATGATGTAAAGAATGTTCCTTATAATTTCAATTTACTTTATCGTGCTAGTAGAGATGGTAATACAATTGCGACATTTCATGCTAAATGTGATAATAAAGGAGCTACTATAGTTATAGTAAAGATTGCAAATTCGGAGCAAATAGTTGGAGGATACAATTCTCTTTATTGGAATTTAAGTAGCGCATGGAAGTCTACAAGAGATAGCTTTATATTCTCATTTGCAAATAAAGATAACCTACAAAGCGCAAAAGTAGGATATAGTAATGGTGATGAGTCTTCTATATATAGTGGGAATATTAACTATGGTCCGTTGTTTGGTGGTGGAAATGATTTAGGCTTGTCTGTTAACAATGGATGGTATAGGAGTTATAGCAATTCTTATCCTGATGTAGACATACCGTTAAATAAATTTAAAACGGATGATTATGAAGTTTTTCAAGTTGTTAAGAAATAATCAAATTTGTGTATTCACGGTATACTTATGGGAAACTTTAATAATAAAGATTTTATGATTTATGAATAACTAAATGGGTTGTTTACACACTAAAAACGCTAAGCGTTAAATGACTTCTTATTGTCAGAAGAATGATTAATTTATAATTAAATTAGAATTTCAATATGAACATATTTTGAATTTTTATTATTTACTATTGAACTCGTTTCTTTGTATATTCATATAGTTTCATTTAGAGTGTATTGTGTATAACATATTTATTATTGATTTATAATCAAAAACGACTAAACAGAATGAACAATATAGTAAGTTCATAAATTATAATTTTTAATAGTTAATAATAAATCTTGTGAGAAATTTAGGTTATGTACTAATGAGTACGAAAATGACTTAATTCCGACAAATATAATGTTCATACAACATTACCAAAAAAAGATGAAAATATATTTTTAAAATTTCTCATTTCTCCTCGATTTTTTGAAATTATTTTATTGAGCTTGTATGGATTTGTAACATTGAATACATTAACTACAATGATAATTTAATATGATGTGAATTTTTTTTTTTTTTTAGGATTTGTCTAAGATAAAAAAAGGTTATAAATACCAAGTCGAACCTGTGTCTCGTAGAGACTAGTATTCTTTATTATTCTAAAAAAAAAATTATTTTATCCCTATATTGGCCTGAATACGTAATAATTCGTGAGGTTTAAGATGACATTTTAACATTTTTACAAATCATCAATCTATTACATATTTATATATGAGTAATATTTACTAAAAACTTAAAAAGGTTAGAGTATTCGGTCGCCATATAAACGTAACACTATGTCAGGTGATAAGTGGGGTGACAGATTGTGTAGATAATTTATTTTAGTGTAATTACAATACAAGCTTTTATTAAACTCAGGCTTAGGACTAACTGGTTGTTAATCCCGGTATGTTTTATGTATTTTCAGTAGGTAGAGCCTATAATGCCATAAATTATACTCAATTAACTCAAATTGGTTAAATGTTACACCGGAATTTTTTTAAATTTACTACTGTAAGGTATAAACAGCAGAGGTTAAAGTCTCACTGACAAAAAAAATACTGACTTCTGGTAACAAATGTTTAATTTCATATGCAAGCTTTTAAATTCATGTATAATGTAATAGAATTATGTGATAATCATATTGAACGAGAAAAAAACTACAATTAATGGATTATATAATCCTGTTTCTTGAAATATAAATAGGATATTTATTAATAATTCAAAATGGATATTATAAGTTTGTAACGAATAAAAATTTCTTTCGATAATCACGAGCAAGTTTTAATTTCTTTATTAGGATCAAAGCACTACAAAATACTAATTTGACTAGTCTATGAAACGCCATAATAATAATAACTGATTTAAATCATTTAATTTTGGAATTTTTTCGAACCTACCAAGTAAACTTTTTAGTATAATCTTGCATCGCATTATTTTCGTAATCATTATTTCGACTTAACATTTTGTATTTCATAAACAAGTCGGACTAATTTCAAGGTCGAAAAAGTTGAAATTCCATTTAATCGCACGCAGAAATATTGTTATTTTCAAGACGTAATTTGGTAAGTGAACCTGAAGTTCAAAGTTCAAACCATTCGGGATTTGATATGTATTGCTTATTAATTTTTTCAAGAAAATTTGTTTGATCATAAGTGAGTCTATCAATTAACCTTTTCTGTGTTAGTAGCCTTGTTACAATGAGTAAAAACAGGCGTGATATAATTCATAGATCGGAAATCTAAGATATCAAGGTACAGCTTTCCAATTATTTCTTATCGCGAGCTTGTATAGCGCCCAATAATGCTGAACGATTAAAACCAAAATTCCAAAATTGTTTAACAAAATGAAATTATTGGCGTTATAACAGGAATAATGAAAAGGGCATAAATCTTACGAATAACAAATAAAACAGATCGTGACAGAACCTATTTTTTTAAGTCTCATCATCAGAAGCAACAATTGGATCTGAAATCAGGTGTTTATAACGGAATAAGAATTATAGAAAACTCCTTGTAATATGATTTTGATTATTCCTTTTTTCATATATAATTTTAAATGGAATGAAATGTCATTTAAATATAGATACGTCTAAATCTTGACCGCGATATAACATGTAATTTTCACCCATCATGTCCTTCCGTTTTTCACTATTGTATTCTGGGAACGGAATTTTTTTCGATTTGAGAGTTCTATTTGCTACCTAATATTTTCACAATTTTGGTTTTCTAATCATGCTATAATACTACTTGTCAAAGATTACGTGATCAAACCCGGTTTTATAGACATTTCATTTATAGATAACTTTTTAATGTCGTTCAAATCAGTTCCTAATTTGTTCCTTTCATTTTCTCCATATTGATTCTTCAATAATTTAACGTTTAATTATTCCATTTTTCTAAATGATTTATTTAAATGTATTGATTATCCATATAAATAGACTTTTTTTAATATCATAACTCTATCAAATTTCTAATTTGCTTTTTCCATTTTTCTATATTGGTCCTTGAATGAGTTACTAAAAGACGCCATGTTTTAGACAAATAGAGAACAAAAGGTCGCATTGTGTTAAAACTAACAATTATTTGCAGCTTGTTTATATAGTAAAAAATAAAATGAAAAATGATCATACTATCTAACTATCATATATGTATAAGAATGATTATAAATTAAGTACTATAAATTTTTAATAAACTTTTTATTTATGTTTTAAAGAAATATCATTACATTTAACAATCTTTGTAATTATAATGAATTCTTATAATTTTTGAAGTATTTCTAATCTATTTTGTGCATTTATATGTCCTTGTTTGGAAGCTTTCCTATACCAATGTATTGCTTTGTCTATATCTATTGTAATTCCATTTCCAAATTCATACATAATACCAAGATTACATTGTGCTGTCATTTCTCCTAAATTTGCAGCATTTTGATATAATTCAAATGCTTTTAGCTCGTCAATTTTAGTCCCAATACCTTTTTCATAACAATATCCTAACATTGTTATTCCACCCGGATGTCCTCCTTCAGCTGATTGCTTAGACAATTCAAAAGCTTTATTATGATCTTTTTCAACACCATTTCCATTTAAATAATGAATACTAAGATTATGAATAGCCATCATATTTCCATTATTTGCAGCTTTTTCATACCAATAAATAGCCTTTTTTAAATCTATGTTAATACCTAATCCATTTTCATAACAATAACCAATTTCTAATTGTCCACGTGCAAAATTTTTATTAGCTACTTTTTCATAGTATTTAAAAACTAATTTTTTATTTTTTGTAGTTCCATGTCCATGCAGATAACAATCAGCAACAAAATATAGTGCTAATATATGATCTTGATCCGATGCATTAATAAATAAATTGAAAGATTTTTTACGATCTTCACTTGTTCCAATTTCAAAACGATTAAAATATCCAAATAAAAAAATTGAATTTGGACTATTTTGATTATTTGATAACCAATTATATATTTCTTCTGAATATGTGTTATAATTATTAAAATACTCAATAACTTTTCCTTTTATTAATTTCCATTCAATTCCTTTATTTGATAATTTATAAATAAAATCATTTATTTCATCAATTAATCTACTAAAATCTTCTTCAGCTGAAATATTTTCTTGTTTACTTAAAACTATCATAGGATCAATTTCTTTTGTATTCATTTTATTGAAGTTTTGAATAAGTTTAGATAATTCTCTTTGTGATTCTAAACCATTAATACTTAAAGAAGCCTTGCTAAATTCTTGTTTGTCTAATGATTGAAGAATATTTGCTATTGCATCTGTTTTTGCAATCATCTCTTTTAAACAATCAACTACTTGATATATATTTGGACGATTATCTGGTTCACCATCCCAGCATTCTAAATAATAAATGTAATTTAAAATTAAGAAAAATAATATTTAAGTAATTACATTTAAAATTTACTTACTAGTATAAATTTCTACATAATTTTCGGGTGTATCAGGAACAACTGTTTCTCTAAGACCTTGTAAAATCTCTAAAGCTAAACCAACATCATATTGTTCACCTTCAACATAAAAAGGAGGTTGTCCATTGGATATTTCCCATAGCAATACGCCAACACTGTAAACATCACTTTTTTCATTTAATGAGTAAATTTGCGATGTTTGATTATTATTATTTCTTCGTCTATTAAAAATTTTTGGATCAACATAAGGAATCATTTCAAATATTTTGGATTGAACATTTGATGACGCTCCGATTCTTTTTGATAATCCAAAATCCGCCAATTTGATCGTGTTTTGATGAACTAATATATTACCAGAATGCTATTGAAAAGTTATATGTAAACTTAGTAATGCAAATATAATATTATAGACAATGATTGAAGAAGATAAATGAATTACCAGGTCACGATGGACAATCCCTTCATTATGTAAGCATGACACAGCGCAAGCTAACTGGTATGCCATAATATATTTATCATCCCATGTAAGTTTACCAAAGTTTTTTTCCAAATAGCTTCGAAGGCTACCATTATTAGCATATTCCATTACTAACATATAATTATTACCAACATGATATTCTAAAGAATAAAAGAAAATAAATTAAATAATCAATTAAAATTCATTTTTTATGAATAAAATACGTAAATTATATTAATTAAAGTATAATTATAATACCTGTTGATTCAAATTTTGTTATTCCATGGCAACGAATAATATTATCATGATAATCAACTTCACGTTGATTTTTTAACTAAATAAATTCAATTTTTAATAAATAAATTTTAATAAACAATGTTATAATGATAAAAAGAAAAATTTTTTATTCAAAAATTACCTCACGAATAATTTCTTTTACGGTGATATTGTTAAGGCTAAAAAAAGATTTTACCGCAAAATATTTCTCTAAATTTTTCCAATTTGCACGGTACACTTTACCAAAACCTCCGGTACCAATTTCTTGAAAGTTATTAAATTCCTTGTATTCATAATATTTTATATGTTCTTTGTGAATGGCTTCTTCAATCCAATTAATCCATTCATTTTTATTCTCGGTATCTTGCATTTTGATATTATCGAACATATTGAATAGTAATAATTGACAGAAAAGTGTTTAAAACGATGAAAAAAAAAAATCATTTCAATTTAATTTCCGATAGTCGTACAGTGTCACAAACAAAAGGTGGATATTTTAGCCGCAGCACAGCATAGCCGCAGTACGCAGTACCGCAGTAACGATGCGTTACAAAGTGAAAAGTTAACCTATTTCTAGAGAAGTGAGTTTGATATTACCTGAATTAGTTATATTGGATTTCAAAGTTATTGAAATTGATTGATTTTACATACATCTTCATGATATTTTCCGCACAAATTCCTGTATAACGAAAATTTCATCCTGATAATATACGCAAAATGGTACGTAGTATTTTGGAATTAACTTACGTATATTAGAATATAGAACCCATAGGAAGGATAGTAAAAGGAGCAACAGATTGAATTTTAGCACTAGAATAAGAGATTTTTTGTAGTCAAATTCGATTCTTTTTACTATTTTTCTTAATTTAGATTTTTATTCCGAAATATGTATGTTAATTTTAGTTAGATCTAAATTTTTTGTTAGTTTTACTTTTATTTTTATTTTATGTTTATTTTTCTGGGATACAAAAAAAATGCGAAGTTAAATTTATGACAGTCAAGCAAATTGATATTTATAGTTATACTCTAAAACAATATATTCGGCATAACCTGTCACATTTCGGACGTGCCTGAAAACAATTCACACTATATGAAAAATTTTTAGATTGGATTATCACTAAAAAAAAAAATAAATTTACAATTATTAATTATTCATTTTATGAGCCATACAATGAAAAAATCATTTTGCAAATTTAATAATATCAATTTCATATTATATACTAGTGTCATATTATTAGCTACAAAAAACTAATAAAATTATAAATCAAAATGACAATGTAAAAAATGAAAAACTTTTAATTGTCTCATTTGGTTTCAGTAAATCCATTGCTGTATCACAATTATTATTTAATTAATGCATGATATCAACTACTAAGAGAATCTTTTTAAAAATAAATTCATTGATAAATTATTATGAAACAAATTGTGCTTGAATTTTATTCAGCTATGATTATTCAGCCGAATAATATTACCAAATGAAATGACACATTTTAACAAGAAATTAAATTATTCTGGTGATATAAAAACTACACGAAAAATTTATATATACAATGCACCAAAGATATAGTACAGTTCAAACATTTTTCATTTATCAATGAACATGACAATTGCCAAACTACGTTTTATTGAATTGCAAATGAATTAATTAATTCATTTTCTATAAATATTAAACAATGACTAATTTGAATAGATTAAAATACAGTATCACATACATAAATAACTTTTAATAAATACAAAAATATAAATTTCTTTATAAAATGAATAAATGAAAAATGATCCCACTAACTACCATGTATAAGAATGATTATATAAATTAAGTACTAATTTTTAATAAACTTCAGTTTTCACGTTTAACAATCTCATAATTTTAATGAATTTTTATAATTTTTGAAGTATTTCTAATCTATTTTGTGCAGTTTTATGTCCTTGTTTAGCAGCTTTCCTATACCAATGTATTGCTTTGTCTATATCTATTGTAATTCCTTTTCCAAATTCATACATAAGACCAAGATTATATTGTGCTATCATTTCTCCTAAATTTGCAGCATTTTGATATAATTCAAATGCTTTTAGCTCGTCAATTTTAGTTCCAATACCTTTTTCATAACAATATCCTAACATGGTCATTCCGCTTGAATAACCCCCTTCAGCTGATTGCTTAGACAATTCGAAGGTTTTATTATCATCTTTATCAACCCCATTTCCATTTAAATAACAAAGACTAAGATTACACATAGCCATTATATTTCCATTATTTGCAGCTCTTTCATACCAATAAATAGCCTTTTTTATATCTTTATTAATACCTATTCCGTTTTCATAACAGTAATAACCAATACCTAATTGTCCGCGTGCAAAATTTTTATTAGCTACTTTTTCAAAGTATTCAAAAACTAATTTTTCATCTTTTGTAGTTCCAGTTCCATGTAGATAACAATCACCAACAAAATAATGTGCTAATATATGATCTTGATTTGATGCATTAATAAATAAATTGAAAGATTTTTCATGATCTTTATTTGTTGCAATTCCAAAGCGATTAAAATATCCAAATAAAAAAACTGAATTTGAACTATTTTGATTATTTGATAACCAATTATATATTTCTTCTGAATAAGTGTTATAATTATTAAAATATTCAATAACTTTTCCTTTTATTAATTTCCATTCAATTCCTTTATTTGATAATTTATAAATAAAATCATTTATTTCATCAATTATTCTATTAAAACCTTCTTCAGCTGAAATATTTTCTTGTTTACTTAAAACTATCATAGGATCAATTTCTTTTGTAATCATTTTATTAAAATTTTGAATAAGTTGAGATAATTCTTCTTGAGATTCTAAACCATTAATACTTAAAGAAGCCTTATTAAATTCTTGTTTATCTAGTGATTGAAGATTATTTGCTATAGCATCTGTTTTTGTAATCATCTCTTTTAACCAGTCAACTACTTGATGTATATTTGGCCGATTATCTGGTTCACCATCCCAACACCCTAAATAATAATGTAATTTAAGATTAGGTAAAATAATATTTAGTAATTAAATTTGAATTTTACTTACCGGTATAGATTTTTACATAATTTTCAGGTGTATCAGGAACAACTGTTTCTCTTAAACCTTGTAAAATTTTTAAAGCTAAATCAACATCATATTGTTTACCTTCAACATAAAATGGAGGTTGTCCACTGGATAGTTTCCATAATAATACTCCAACACTGCAAACATCGCTTTTTTCATTTAATAAGTAAATTTGTGTTTCTTGGTTATTATTATTTCTTTTCCAATTAAAAATTTTTGGATCAACATAAGGAACCATCCCAAATAAGTTGGATTGAACATTTGATGACGCTCCGATTCTTTTTGATAATCCAATATCCGCCAATTTGACCTTGTTTTGATGAACTAATATATTACCAGAATGCTATTAAAAAGTTATATATAAACTTAGTAATGCAAATGCAATAATATTATAAACAATAATTGAAGAAAATAAATAGATTACCAAGTCACGATGGACAATTCTTTCGTTATGTAAGCATGACACAGCGCAAGCTAACTGGTATGCCATAATATATTTATCATTCCATGTAAGTTTATCCAGATAGCTTCGAAGATTACCATTATTAGCATATTCCATTACCAACTTATAATTATTATTATCATGATATTCTAAAGAACGAAAGAAAATAATCAATTTTTATGAATAAAATACGTATATTATATTAGTAATTAAAGTATCATTATAATACCTGTTGATTCAAATTTTGTTATTCCATAGCAATGAATAATATTATCATGATAATCAACTTCACGTTGGTTTTTTAACTAAATAAATTCAAATTTTAATAAATAAATACTATAATTATAAAAAGAAAAATTTTTTTATTTAAAATTACCTCACGAATAATTTCCTTAATGGTGATATTATCAAGATTAAAAAAAGATTTTACCGCAAAGCATTTCTCTAAATTTTTCCAATTTGTGCGGTATACTTTTCCGAAATTTCCGGTACCAAAATTATTAAATTCTTTATATTCATAATATTTTATATGTTCTTTATCAATAACTTCTTCAATCCAATTATTCCATTCATTTTTATTCTCGATATCTTGCATTTTGATATTATCAGACATATTGAATAGTAATAATTTGACAGAAAGGTGTTAAAACGATAAGTTTGAACGATCAAAGTTATTAAAAGAAAAAAAAATTTTTTTTTACTATACAAGTATTTTCTATGCAATTTAATTTCCGAAAGTCGTACAGTGTCACTGTCACAAACAAATGTCAATCACTTGGTTTTAGCCGCAGTACCGCAGTAATCGCAGTATTTATACATTACAAAGTGAAAAGTTAACTTGTTTTTAGAAAAAAATAGAACCATAATCCATATTTTATGAGGATAAAGTAGTATTACAAGTCCAGGTAAATTAATTTTCAATTATATGTAAGTTTATTGTCCATGAATTAATCAACATGAACATTTTAATAGGACGGAGTTGATAAAATAATTTTAAATTCATATAGTGTCATATTATTAGATACAATAAATCTGATTTAGCTGATTTATAAAATTATAAAAATGACTTTTAATTTTCTCATTTAAAAAGTTATAAAGTAGTAATTTAGCAAATATATATGAAATTTAATTAATTCAAGATAAGTAATTTTTTCAGATCTTATATGTAGAATTTTTGTAATATTTCTATCAATTTATCAACCAGCTTATGATGCAGTGCACAAGCCTAACTATATCGATCATTTGGATGGCTGTAGCGTTGTATGACAAAGATTAACGTAAAGCAGTTCCTTGATATCCAACAAGGAAATCAAATTATGAGAACAAATTGCTTGATATAATTTAAACATTTTCGAGTAGAGCATTAAAAGTCTATACAACTATTAATTTTTATGGCTATTAAATGTTTAAATATTCAGTATGAATAACTATGATTATACGTTATTCACATAAATTCATGCAGATTTAACATATTTTGGTCGGTTGTCTCATATTACAATAATAAAATTATTGATATTTTACCATGGCCCATCAAATCTACTATGTAAAAACATTTGTCATTTTCATAGTTAATTCATTTATTTACAAATATTTCTATAAACAAATATAAGGACTTAAAAAGTGGTGTGCTTAATTTTTAGTAAAATTTTAGATTTTTTCACAACTTATCAGGTTAAAATCTTTACTTTCTAATTCCATTATTGCATCAATATCTTTAGAATTAAAATTAATTGATACTTTATTGTTTTCAGAAATAATACTAATTTCTGAATTACTTAATCATTCATCTAGTACATATTTTCAACATTCTATTTAATAAATAAATATCAGCTTAGATTATAAAAAAAATAAAAATCATATATATATTTATAATAATAACTGAAAGAAAAACGAATTTACCATTTGTGTTTGATTGGGATAAGATTTTCACCTATATTACTGAGAATATCAAAACATTTTTAAAAGATCAATTATTGTTTCAAAATCAAAAGGTAATAAAAAGTATTATGCCATGTTACCCACGTAGTTTAAAAAACTTCTTAATAACAATCATGCATTAAAATATTTTTGGGATGCTAAATAAATATTTTTTATTAAGATATTTTATATTAAATATATAATAATAAATTTAATAACTAATTTATAATGTATATCCTTTGATAAGACAGATAAGAGTAGTAATCATACAGAGAATATTTCCTTTCTTCTCATTTTCCTTATTTTCATTTCTCTGTTCTTCTGTCAGAACATTTGCATATCATGAGCATTCATTATTTACCTGTTGTGAAAAGGGAAATTGATTTTGAGTAGTAGTTCGAGGATAAAGATTTATTGAAATTTTTAAATATTCTGAATTTACCATAACATTACTTTTATTTAGATATTAAAACAAATTTAGAATAAGCTGCTATGATATGATGATCGCCAACTCCAATGCCTATTTCTACTGTTATACCATCAAATACTCCTACAGCAGACATTATAATTAAATACAAAAAATGTTTCAAATATAAGATTAGTGATAAAATTATATTAGTGATATTAATAATACGGTAATTGTTAGTTTCCACGTGGTTTAATACAAAATCCTATTACCAAAGAAGAATGAAAAAATGGAAAAATTATATGACCAAAAGAGGACTGGAAAGATTTTCTCTATTTATCATATGATACATATTGGACTTATCGGGCAAGTATTAATTTTACATTTTGAGAAGTCTTCGTGATAACTGAAGCTAAGTGCTATTTGTGAAAAAGGAAAATATGCATCAGAACAAACTTTGGGTAAAATTCAAAATGTCATTAATAATGTAAGTTATATATTTATATCATCCATATTCTTAAACCTAACTAACTTTCTAAACTGTTATTTAGTTTAAAACCGATTTTCCAACATTTCCTATTGACTTTGTTTTGCAAAAAATGACTGAAGATATCATTGGAACTTAGGGTAATTATTTAGTACGTTATTATTATGTACAATTTTATCTGATATTAATATAAATTTTATAGCTGAAACTGAACACAAGAGAAAAGTTAAAGAAGCTCATTTACAAGGTATTGATCCACCTTCCAAACGAAAAAATATCACTCCCCTAATCTAAAACTCAAGAAAACAAGGCCAAATTCATGAGCACCAATTCCTGATAAATCATCATCAAGTATTGATATTAATGTCCAATTGTCCTCACCCGAAGTTATTAAGGAGAAATCTGCATCAATTCCTTCTAAATAATTATTGAAGCATCTTCAAATGTAATTCTTACTGAAAGAAGAGCTGATGTTCAATTAGTAACTTCACAAATACAAGGATTCAAGAAATTCCGGTAAATTTATTTTTTGTTAGTGTTTATAATATTTATAATATTACAATTTATAATTTAATAAATATAGGAGGCAATAAAAGTTCAACTATAATGACGAGATCAAGTTTAACAAAAGAAAAAAACAACTAATAACCAAATTGCTACTCGCAAAAATCAAAGAAAGCAAAAAGATAGAATATTATTATTCATATACTCATAGATAAGTACTTTCAGATAATATCTAGAAAATATAAATATAAATAAAAAGTACTTGTAATCTGTAATATTCAATAAAATTTTTTTCTGAGTACTTTCGGATAATATATATTGTAAAACATCTGACAATATTCCGGTTATATTCATAAAATTTACCGAGCAATTTTGGGTAAAATCTGTAATTATCATTCTGAAAAATGATCACTTTCCGTAGTAAAATCGGATAATAAAAATTGGAAAATTTTCGGAATACATAAACCAGATAAAATCGGAATACATCCAAAAAAAATTTTTTATAGGGTTAACTATTGAACAAACTTAAAGAAGTCCTTAATCAACCCAATCCTCAAAATTTTAGAATTAGAACCAATTTTAACTAAAGGTGTAAAAGGCACGTAAGAAAATGTCATTAGAACCATTATAGCCTAGAGAAAGAATACAGAGAATTACAGATTGTGATAAGCAACCTTAGAAAATATAGAGAACCAGTTGAATGTTTTAAACATTCTGCTATTACTTATCATTTCCAATATAATTGTAATAAATCAAAATGTACAAAAATGTGGATCATGGGGACATAGCAAAGAAATGTGCAATGATAAATTATATTATTGGAATTGTATAAATGTGATGGAAAAATTGTAAAAGACAAAGATCAGAAGCCCAAGCAAGGCAACCACTATTGCACTTGTCAAAAACCAGTCATCTTTTATGATGCTTATAGCAATTATAATATCAGAAAATTGAGATGTAATGAATGTTATAAAAGGAATAACAGCAACAAAAGACAACATTCCCCAGATACTGATGAAGGAAATAAGAAACCCAAATTCAACATACCAGAAGCAGAAGATCCAATGGAAGAAATGGAATTAAACCCACAAAAACTCAACAAAGGAAAGAAAAAAATATAATATTCTAAAGTTAAATGCATGAATTGTAGTAGAGAAAAAAGTACTACTAATTATATTAATAGTTTAGGCATTTGTCCAAAATGTGATGAAAAAAGAGTGAGATTAGAGTTAACAGGAAGTACATCCTGTATAAAATCTTGTACAATTTGTCAATTAAGAATGAATGGCTTTGAATCAAGGTCATCAGAAGCCATAGTTTGTGGAGAAGAATATAATAGTGTATTAACTATTATGAATATGGTACATAAAGATAAATCAGGAAAACTCCAACCTCAGTTGATACAAGAAAAATTAAGGATCTGGATAAACAAGTTTGGATATGATTCAGAAGATGAAAATGAGAGCAAGATAAATTTAATAAAATATTTGAAAAGATACAAAAATATCTTAATGAAGAATTTAAGGAGAAGTTGTTCGTTGAATACACAAAGAAAAAATCAAAAATGTTTTAGATAACATAGTTCCTTTAAAGATAACAAGCAAATATGATAACTGAACACATACTAAAAGAAAGTAATTTAACCCAAACTGAACCCATTAAAACTATTGATGATACCATTGAATGAACTGAAGAGATTAAACAATCATAAGAATTGAATAGAGAATTTACATGGCCAGAAGGAGAGACTATAGAAGACCCCATCTTTGAAAGAAATGAAATTCAAGAAGTAAATTCTATTGATAATAGAATAATTGAACTTTAGAGTCATATTGCAAAATTAGAAAATGAAAATGAAATAAAAAATCAATTAAATGAAGGATTAAGAGGACAATTAAAGGAAACCCAAACTCAACTTAGTGAAACTGCAAGAAGATGCAATTAAAATGCAATTATGGTAATGGATGCCCAAGAATGGATAAAATATTTCAAAATTAAATATGAAAGAAGGAACAAGCATGTAAATGAGTTGGGTAATATTTTGTTAACAAAATATGTTTAACAAAACTAATGATTTAAAAGATAAAATAGAAGAGTTAGAATAAGAAATAACTTTTGAAAATGAAATATTTAATCAAATAATAGAACTTAACATGACAATTAGCTCAGATATAAATATAGAATCTTTCATGGAAAACATAGAACTTTTAAAATGTTAATTAATTTTCTTTTATAAATAGAGCCCAATTTTACAACCCCAAAACTCAAATTTTAAAATGAAACTAAAATATGTGAAAATAAAAGATAACTGGCATTTTAATTCTTATACTAAAAACCCAAACCTTGAATTTAAATATTTTACAGATAACAAAGTGATGTTACTTAAATTAGGAGAAGAAACTAAAGAAATTTTATTAAAACAAATTAATAAGAAGATCCAACTCATCTTAATAATAATCGATGGAGTAGATGGTGTAAAAAAAACTACTATAGTAAATAATATAATTAAGAAAATTGAAGCCCAAAACCTTAAGATTATTTTTAATACTTTCAAGAGAAGAAGAGGTGATAATAAATTATTTGAAACCCATCCATTAAATATGAATAGTAGATGTTTCATAAAAAAGTAGTTGAACAAATTAATAAGAGATTAGTAATATATACTAATGAAGATATAATTATAGTAGTTAAATCTAAAGTTCCAAATGGGTCAGGTCAGGTTAGGTTATATCAGATTATCTGTTTGACCTGACCTGAACTGAAACCTGAAAATTTTCAGGATTTTTATTAAAATATCAAAAAAAATGGTACAAAACATTTTTTTTGAAAATATTGCAACTTACTTTTTTTATATAAAATCAATATAAAAAAAGCGAATTCCGATGTAACTCTAAATATCAAGATAATCATGTGATTGGAAGAATAACTACCTGAAGGATGAATAATATACCGAATGGAATATGGATAAACATTCAGCCAATGGAAGAATATTTAACCAAAATAATTAGAAAATACATTATTATAGTTGTACAATAGTTAGTAATATTTATTTATAGTTCAGTTATGAACTATGAAGTAAGTATGGGGACACACCGTCTTATTATACCGGATATAGGTCTGTGATAGATTTAGTCACAATCATCTCACGTGTGAATTTTGACGCGTCCTTGATAATTATTTATATTATTAGATTAGTTATTATTAGTTTAGTATAAATAGATTATTATCACATTAATGAAATGATATAATATTAGGAGGACTTTGACAATTTAATTTATGGAATGGACAAATTATGGATAATACCAAATTATGATAAACAGTTTGAACAAAGTCATGGAAGATGATAAATTGTAATGGAAAATGATAAATTGTAATGGAAGATGATAAATTGTAATGGAAAATGATAAATTGTAATGGAAAATGATAAATTGTAATGGAAATGATAAATTACAAATGGAAATGTTAAGTTTTAAATGGATAATCAAGAGATAATCAATTTATCGCAGTAACTTGAAAAAATATTTAAGATCAAGGTTTTGGAGTTAATTGAACGATACCAAGTTTCGACTTGGAATTGGGAATAATATTGGGGATTTAGGAAAATATAATGATAATTAATAATTGTATTAGTTATTAATATAGAGTTACTAATATGGCTTCATATTAGAAAATGTTTATTAATTGATAAAATTAATATTTGAAATAAAAATTAATAAAACAAAATAATGAAGTTATGAAAGCATTAAGGGAAATTATCGCAGTTTGAAATTTTGAATAAATTAAAATGATAAAATCTAAACCAAGCAAGGAGATATATTTATAAATGTTAGGATTTCGTCTATCAGTATGTGGCAGGTGCCAGTGACACTGATACCGCAATTCACTTTTTATATATAAAATCAATATAAAAAAGTGAATTATAATACCATCACTTATATTATATAAATCATAGTTTCAGGTCAACAGGTTATTCAGGTTATATTGATGTTACAACCTGAACTGATGCTAAATTGCAATTGCTAAACCTGATCTGATAAATTCAGGTCAACCTGTCAGGTTACCTGAATTTGGTCAACCTGTTCGGAACTCTAGTTAAATCTCCATACTAGGGATGGCAATGGTCGGTCATGGTCAGTCATCGGTCAGTTATAACCTATCAGGAACCTTTGACCGACTGACTGACCGTTTGACCGACCATTTGACCGATCTAACCACTGACCACTTTCGCAATATTTTTGGTTAAAAAAGTTTGCAAAAACTTTTTTATTAAATTTAAATTTCTATTTTTATTTAAAAATATTGCAAAACATTTTTTTTATTAGATTACTTATTAAAAAACATTTTCACAACATTTTTTGTTAAATCAATTAAAAATGTTTGCGAAACCTTTTTTTATGAAATACTTAATAAAACGTTTTCGCAACATTTTCTATTAAAATAATTAAAACCTGTTTGCAAAAAAATTTCATATTAAAAGACATTTCGCAAATATTTTCAGGATCTGTTAAACAGTCAGTCAAACAGTCAGTTAAATGGTCAGTCAGACCGGTCAGTCAAACGGTCAGTCAGAGGTCTTTGACTGACCGATATTGGTCACGGACATGACCGGTCATAACCAGTTAATGACCATGACCGTTGCCATCCCTACTCCATACTGTGAATATTTCTATCAAAAAACAAGTAGTTTTCAATAAAACCTTTTAAAAATTTTAGAATGGAACAAGAAATTTTCAAATATAAAGATATAATTTATAATGTAATACTTATATTTCCAGAAAATGATGCACGTTGGAAAAATTATATAGGAAGAGAGCTTGATGGAGGACATAAATCATCATATGATGATACACTTAAAGAAAACAAATATATTGAAGTGGTCAAACATTTTTATAAATTAACATAAGTAAATCCTTTTTTCCAGGTTGTCAGTTGTCGATCATCACAAATATTACTCACTAGCAAAGAAAGGCCTAAAAATATATTATAATGCCCATTTAAAACTAAATGATTATCTTTATTCAGTTGGTTAATAGTTGAAAGGACCTTGAAAGGTTTGTCATGTAGAATAATAGAAATCAATTTAAAATTAATAAATCTTCTATTCCTAGAACATTTTTACATTTCAAAAGTATGGTTGTGTAGAAGATTTATCATTAGAATCAGGACGATCAAAAATTCTTAAAGTTGAAGATACAAAATACTTAGAAAGCCTTTTAAAAGAAAAAGTAGATTATTATTTGTGGGAACTACAGTCTGAAATGGAGTTATGATTAGACCACCAAATTGGTTATTATATACAATATGAAAAGCCATACATCAACCTGGTTATACACATAAACAGGTAAAATTTATACATACTGTTTATATTCATTTCCTTCCAATGGGGGAAGTTCCTTACTATGGTTCTGCCTACCTGAGGAAAAATAAGTACTCGGTAGTGTGGTTACCTCTTAGGGATGTTAGGGATACAGGCAGACCTAACCCTCACATAGGGGGTGGGGATGGATTAGATTGCCTTTAAATGTAGATTCATAGTTTATTATTTATTTTTAGTTGTCTAAACCACAAAAGAGCATAATGAAAATGAGAGATTAAATTTTATAACACACATGTCACAATATTCTACATTCCAGCTAGTATTTTCTGATGAGTCGGCTTATGATAGAAGACTTCATTATCATTATGGATGGAATTTTAGGGGGAGACATGCATGTAAACCTACATTTTTATCTGTGGAAAAAGATATACCATAGAAGGAGGATTATGTCTTAATGGTCTTTTAGCTTATATGATTCAAGAAGGGCCCATGAATAGCACTGATTATAATTATTTTGTTGAGCATATTTTGGTAATTATTAATATAATTGTTTTTTTTTAGTAACTATATATAATGGTAAAATATTCATCAAAGATTCCTAAGATGAATGCATATCCAGGTCCCTAAATCTTGCAAATTATTTATGTGAAATTAATTTATTTATTTAATTATTTAGATGAAAATACTAACAAAAGTTAAATGAAATCCTTGAAAGTGAAGGTTCACAATAATGAAATGCTAGTTAATGAAGGTTTAAATAATTAAAGATTAGATAAATACTATGATATATAAAAAAATTAATTTTGCAAATTAATTAGTAACTTTATTTATTTAATCATTTATATATTAAAACAGATGAAAATTGACTAATTGTTTGTGTTTTTAAAAAAAAGATTTATAGTTGATATTTGATATCATGCATTTAACAGAAATTATTCTTTATTTTATTCTTTTTGGATTTATTTAAACACTAAGGTTAGAGTACTAGTAAAATATTTTACAAGATTCTTAGTTTGTAATTTAAATAATTCCTTTTTTTTTATATTTTATCCAAATATTAAACATTGTATTCTTTTTTTAAGAATTATTTAAACACTAAAGCTAGAGTAGTAAATATTTTACAAATTTCTTAGCTTGTAATTTAAATAAATCCTTTTATTTATAACTTTTCAACTATTAAATATAAATTATTAAGATAATAAGTATATAAAACCATTCCTAATGTATAAAATTAAAAATAAATAATGAAATTTTTTTTTTATTTTTATTTCAAGAATTGATTGTATTTAATTTATATTGCTGACTTTTATTTTAGTATGATTTAAATATTTTGGGTTAATGTAAGGTACTACACCAAAAATATCTGCTGGTTTATATGACAAATAAGTAAGTCACTGATCATATATAGTGCACATCACCATCACCTTTTAGTCTTTATGACATATGATATATATCTTAATTTTCATTTCTGCAAAAAAAAATTGCTTCTTTTTCTAATAATTTGTGAAAACTATTCATTTGCATAAAAATCATAAATGGCTTCTGCTCGTAAAGAAATTGGAATCACATATGATGACTTATTGGCTTATATTGTTGTCAATCCTAATAAAGTAACCGAAATTGAAGAAACCCTCGGATATGGTAATGATAGCGTTAAGCTCAAATACTTGAGAAAATTGTTATCTTCTAATATTGTTTTCAAGTATGCCTGACTTTGTCATTCCGTCTGCCAATAATATCAAATACTTACTACTTATTCTTGTGCTTTTCTTTCCTCCTGCTTATCATCAAACCTTCATGTTATCATAGAGCAATCCATTGCTGGTAAGTGAGTTGTAATGAATTAGTCAATGTGAGTGAACGCAACCTAGCTTGATTTTCTTCTACGATAATATCGAATATTCTGCTTTCAAATCTCTAACCAGTAATATTAAATTCTTTTGTAGGTAATTTTCCTAATGTAGCTTCCCTACAGAAAGAAATTGAGGATCTTAGTCTTAGAGCGGAAAGTGGTTTTAAGAAGGTACACCACCTTGTGGAAATATCGAGCCTTTCATCAGGTATGTTTTTCATCTGGTCCATCAATCATTTCTACAAACACCATTAACGTTTTGTGTAGGTTTTGTACCGGAAACTGAATTGGGTAAAGAAGTAATAGACAATGGAACAGAAATTACCTTCCCGCTCAACATAACGCAAAGTATTAAAGGACGTGCACTTGGAAGGTTTTCAGAAACACCTGGTAGAGATGCAAGTGAAAAAGAAATACAAGATTACTTTATGAGCGAATGTTATGAACTAGAAAATTATGAACCTATAAAAAAAAAGCTTAAGCTTATTGTTAAAGATACACGCCGATCACTGGTATTAGGAACTCGGAAACCAGATTTTGTATTTATTCAAAAAAATACAAATGTAGATTACTTAAATATTATGGCCGTTGGTGAGGTAAAGAAACAATCTGGTGAAAACTTTAGCAACGCGCAAATAGGACAAGCAATATCATTTGGTGAAAAACTACTTCAACTTCAACCACGGCGAAGTTCTGTTTTAGTACTTTTGACAAATTGTATTATCATTAATATTTATAGGGTGACTAGGGTTGATTTTGATCAACAGACCCGGTACAAATATGAATTTGTGCCACCCCAGCCTTTATTATATAACTCTAATAGAAGTGACAATGGATGGAAATACCTGGTAACAATTATGGAAAGCTCTCCTCAAGACTTGGGATGGGTTGAACCATCATTGAAATTTGGTAGTAACACTGTAATACTGACTCGACCTATTAGTATGGGTAGAACAAGTGTTGTTTATGAAGGAAAACATAATGGTAAATCTGTGGCTGTGAAAATGGCGAAGAAGACAAATTATTATTCTTATTTTGATAGAGAAAGAAGAGTATTGGAAAATCTGTCAAGTTTGGAATCACCTCATATTCCAAAAATCCTTTTTTACAACGATGATACCCTTGTCATGACTCCACTTGGTGAGAAAATTAATAATTTGCGAAAGAAAGATGTCAGAGATATCATTACCACCCTCCAAAATGTTCATTCACTTGGTATTATACATAGAGATCTTAGGAAATTCAACTTTCTTCGTAATTTAAATGATTTAAATAGTAATATTCTTATTGTCGACTGGGGTTATAGCACGAATAATTCTGAAAGTACCTTACCATTTGCAGGGGCATTGGAGTGTATGCCGGACTATGTCCTGCAATCATTAATTAACGAGGAAGAGATTACTTATGAACCACAGGTTGATTTAATCTGTTTCGTGCGATCATTTTACCTAATGCTTCATAAGCCATCATTAACCTTTGGTAAAGATGATGATATCAAACAACGAGCAAGCGTGTTGTTAAATTTCTGGAAAGATTGTAGACGATCAGATATATGGGATAATGTTTATAATACAATAGAAGCCTCAGACTACGAGCAATTAATTCAACATCTTGAAGAATTGTTTTAGATTGCTAAGTTTCGAGTGATTTGGATTGTATCGTTAATTGCTACATCTCTTCTAATGGCTTTATATATCCAAGAAATTAAATGTAATAGCTCATTGTTTCCATCATATATCAATAAAAATTAATAAAACATAGTTCTCCCTTGCGTTTTTTATCTCGTATATGTGTGTACCTATTGCATTGGAATGTTTAACTTATACACCGATTTTATTTCTTGCCAGAATGATCAGCTTTCTGAAACAGAACGCGTACGTGATTATTAAATAAAATCTGATTCTTTCACAGCAGTACAAACTAGCACTATATTTTCTCCTATGGAAATAACTAACGAAACTATTCTATTTTTGGTCGTTATGACAGAATGATAGACAGTAGATTTAGTTGAAAAAATAACCGGGATAATCATAGTTTCCTCAGATTTGCTATTGCGTGAGTTTTTTACGGGGATAAATTAACGCTGCTACTTGAATCTGATTTATCAATTCAAGGTTCGTTTTTGAATTTGAAATAGAAACCAATTGCCGATGGTTAACTAATCGATTCTTGTAACTACTATACTTCGTACACTCCGTGTAGATGCCTTTAATTGGTACAAATGAAAACATTTATTGCGATTACCTCACCTTTTCTTATCGAGAAAATCTTTGTGATCATGGGATCGCCATGTTGTCGAACAAAAAATTGACAATGAAACCGATGCACGTAACACAGAAATTAAGAAACTGAGAACAAAATTAATTCCTATTATACTGTGGAAATCGCATTTATTCAACGCTCGTATTGGAATTGAGTCGCAAGGAAATTTCGATAGGATTAAAACATCGAACTAATCATTAATGATCTCTACGAAAAAAAGACTTTATGCCCTTCTACAGTTTTCGACTGAAGAGCACAGAGTCAATCAGAATGAAACGGAATCAATTACTTCATCTGCCAGCTCTTCGTCGTCCAATATATCATTTAAAGTTGTTACGTACGATATTTGGACCCGTTTTAAACAGATTGTTGATAGGATTATGACTGAAGAAGTTTTGACTTTGAATGAAATTTGCAGTAATATTTTAATCGTTACAGGTTGGGTACGTTCTGCGCACAAACAGTAAAAAATTTTTATAATAGGGATAAGAATAGATTTTAGCGAAACATTAGACAAGATTAGCATATGGGTTCAGAAAAAAGAAAAAAATGAGTAGTGAGAAGGAACTTCCAAATAATGGTCTAGGGGGCCGGCAGTAGTATGAATTTCGCCTCCTCCCTTTAAACGCCCACTACTCATTTTCTTTATTTTGTATTAGTTACAGTATTCCATTAACTTAAAACTAGATGAAAAAATCAAATTATAGTATTGCATTAATTGCAAATAAAAAAAAAGTTTATACTATTTATTATGTAATTGTTTTAAAAGTCGATTTATGTGTGTATGTATACGCTGATCGCTACATATTTTCTGTTAACGTATAGTATGTTATACTGAAAAATGCAATATAAATAGATAATTGCCTCGCAATCGGTTATAAAAACTGACGTAGATACTTGCCAATTTCCAAATAATGTGACTGCGTTTTTCCGAAGAAGTATATGTTTATTGGGCAACGTTTCCCGAACAGGAAGATAATCGCACTCCTTTAATGGGATATTGCCTTGTAATTGATTTTTTGCATCGGAAAAATAACCGCACTTTGCCTTTAACATATACAGTATATTCCGTATTAATAATAATAATTTGTTTTTATTTATCCAGAATATGAACAATAACAACAACATAAAAATTATTATTGTGTTACGTTTAACTGAGGCAGAGTATAAAAATGAATAATCGGTAATACCACCTCCTAACGTTTCTTTATTCTGTTTCTCTGGAACGGAGCTTTGCATCTGAGCTCTGCTCACGAAATGATATTTTTTTTTTATTAAAGACTGTTCAGCCATATCAGATACGTGTTGTTTGTAAAGATTGCACTCAGTTTAATGATCTGTAACTAGAATAGCTTTGACGAAAGTTCCAATGTCTTTAATGAAAGTTTAGAATCTAAGGTATGTATTTCCGTTATTTTTGACGATAAAATATACTCTAACTAGCAGTCACTCGTTGCTTTGCACCGGGACCAATGAGTTTGTTTAAATAGAAAAATTTAGTATTATAATGTAATACTGAGTAAATTAAAGATGATTACAGTAGTTTATTGTTTATAATTAGGAATTTAATATGGTAATAATTAATTAACAAAAAATAATAAAATAATATGTATTAGAATGATATTATATTTAGGATAATGTAGCTGCTATTCATATAAATGATTTAACGTTTGAGTGTAAAATGAAATTCGGATTAATTAGGAATTATGAAATCAATAAAAATTGATTGATTTTTTTAGAAATATTTTTGAAAAAACTTTAATATTATAAATTTTATAATTATTTCTTATTATTTTATATTACGTCAATTTTAAACTTATAATCAACTAGGTAATTTGGTATTGTTAGTGAGTTATAATATAATTATTGCATTATTCAGTAATTATTTATATATATTTTAAGTAATATAATAGGGTTTATATTAAAAAGTTGATTTGTATTTTGTATTTTTATCAAATAATAAATTTTATGGTTTATTTTGAGTTTATTAGTTTTATTAAAGAAATATTATATTTAATGATCAAAATGAATTGATCCTGTAACATGTTAAGTGGTAATAATATAAAGATAAATATAAATATAATAGTTTGTATTAATTTTAGTAAAATATTAGATATGATGATAATGTTAAGTATAGTGATTTAAAAAAATTAGATTGGATGCTATTATGATAAATACATTGTATTGAACTTCTCCTGTAATCTATTTAATTCTGACAACATTGCATCATCTACTTTTATTGCATTTGGATCAAAAGATTGGATTTCTAGATTTTCCCAAGATGTGGCACGACTTATTGCTACATAAGATTGCCCATGAGCAAACATTTGTTCATCCAATGATACAGTTACATGGGGTAATGTAAGGCCTTGTGTCTTGTGTACAGTTAGAGCAAATGCATTTTGAAGTGGAAATTGTGTTCGTTGTGCTGAAGCTCCATGTAAGTTAAAATAAGTTGTAATTTTTTCTACTATAACTTGATTTATCCCATTATTTATTGGAAATGCCACTTCTACTTGATTTTCATTTATTAATTTAGTTACCACACCAATTGATCCATTACAAAGTTGTTCATTAAATAATTTGTTAGTTAGAAACATTACTCTTGCTCCTTCTCTTATTATTAATTCAGATGGTAAATTAGTATAATGTCTAAATTGTTTATCATATTCTTTTGGTATACATTCTTTTTCATTAACATAATCAATAGCTGTAGAAATTAAAAATCCAGAGGAGATATCTTTAAAAATAGGAAGATAACCACAGATTAAATTATTAATTGAATCTGCAATATGAAGAAATCCAAAAATATAGGTAGTATCAGTTGACATTTCATTGTTACTTTGATATGATTGCACTTTTTCATCAATTAATCTTCTTGTTTCTGAACTTATATTTCCTATTCGCATTTCTTCTAATATATTATAAAATGATCTATCTTGTTGGCGATGAGAAGTTGTAAGAAAAAGTGGGAAAAATTCTTGCCATTCTGGAGCATAAAAAACTTGTTTACCACTTACAGGTGGAAGTTGAGCAATATCTCCAATTAGTAAAGTTGGAATTCCACCAAAAGGTACTGGTGATTTGTTAATTTTTGCAAATAATGAACTAATAAAAGATAAAAGAATTGATGATACCATTGATACTTCTTCAATTATAATAGCTTTAATCTGGCTAAGTTTTTCAAATTGTTGATTATTATAATGAGATAATGTTTCAAAATAGGTTTGAGTATTTCTAATATATAGTGCT